TTTCTGTCTTCTTCGCGGGCTCATTCGTCAGAAATAACATTTCTCTTTTTTTTTTTGCCGAGGGTGGTGGTTGAAGCAGTTTTACAGCCCGTAGGGGAAGGGCGGGAAATGCTCGCTTGTGCAACCTCAGCGGCATGGGTGGCGCCAGAAGGGTAAGGGGCTTCATACGGTACGCCGTACACCCCACGGGAATCATCCAGGGACCCCTTCCATAGGTTTTTCAGCTAATATCCAATATTGAACTTGAACCCTTGAACTCGAGCAAAACTGATTTCCCCTGAAATTGTCCTATTCTTTCGCTGTTATTTTTAATACCCTCAACAGCTGGAAATTTCCACTAACTCGAATTTTAATTCCCTTCAGATCATTTTGATTCTTAAACCTCCAATCTTTGCGTAGTGTACTGAGTGCAGCTGTGAGTGAATCATCGAAGCGCCAAAAAATAAATACAGTCGAATCTCCACTAACGGCCACCTCTCCAGAACGGCCACTTTTTTATTGTCCCGGAGGACAGTCCACACCATTGACTCTTGTTTATACCTCTCTACAACGGCAACCGCCACTAAAGCGTTTCCCCAACTGCCAAAATAACCTCTCGACAACGGCCAGTTTTTTCAGCTGACTGATGAAAAAGCCAAGAATGGTCATGAAATTTGATCCGTATGGCACGTTGATGATAAATCACGCCAACTGCATTTCGATTGTGTTCCATTTATACTCACGTATACTGCTACAATAAGGATAAATTGTCTACAATATAGCGAATGTTGCGAAACTTGCTCATTTTGTTACATTAATATGTTGATTCAAAGCATTTTTCAAGTTTTTTGTGTATTTTATCTCTCTACATTACATATGACTGTTTATCATTATGGGATACAGTAAGCATGAACTGAGCACATGTTGTATACCCCTAAAAAAATGTCATATCATACCTCTACCTCCCCATAACGGCCACTTTCTTGGTATAGAACACCACCCCGAGGACTACAGTCCTCTACTCTTTTCAAGAATAAGAGTACTTTAACGTTCCACAGAATTTATTATATGACCAAAAGTCGTGAGAAAAACCAACGGTTGTTAGCCTTTTTAAGAGAAGATTAGAAAGTCTAGCCGTTTGCAGATGTCATTACAAAAGCAACACTTCCTCCTCAGATAAAAAAACAAGGCCTTAAGTGTTGGTCTGGCCAGGGGTTGAACCTGCGGCCTCCCGCTCGGCAGACGGGCGCTCATTTAATAGAGCTAGCCCTGCCTCGTACTCAGACGTCTCTCTCTCGATGAAAGTAGGGAGCTTACGAATTGACGACTTTCGCACGACGACGCCGTTGGAGTGCGTGACAGGCTTACTGCGCATGCTCATCTGGGCACTTGCCGGCGTCGCGCCAAAGTCGACGCCGTTGTTGACAGCGATACGCCGGCGTCCTAGAAAAAGCAGGACGTGGGACTAATTTCCAAAATTTTCCCTGCATACTTCAGCGGATTTTTCCAGATTATTCAAGTATCACATTAGGGACATTTTCTTTACATATGTTTTCGATTTGTTTGTCTGTTTTCATTGGAATAACGACCCGAAGAATCAACACAATAGCTAGCTGTAGACAAACAAAAATTAACACCGAGTGAAACGATATGGGCAAGATGGTACTAAAGCCACAACTAGACCATTGCAAGTGGTTATCTCATCACAGTAACTACAGCTGTTCAGCAAGTTTATAAATGCCCTCCCTGTACATAAACGCGCCTTGCATTCGTCCTTTGTTGTCTCGTCTAAATCCGTACTTAACTCTGAGTTTGTTGATGAAACGCATAAAAGTACAAATACAGTGAAATACTCGGTCCCTTATAAACCTGTTTCCATAAGCGTCTGCAATACGAGCTCTCGTTTGCCTTATGAATTTAGACATTTTGGTTGAACAAACAAGCTTACTTGTGAAAAGAAGAAAACAAACTTCAGAAACGGCGGGAAAATTTGCCTGCCGCACGCACCAACGTCGTCGTCTTTACTACGAATCGTAAATAGGACGGCAACGCCGAACTATGACGTGACCCAGCGTCGGCGTCGTGCGAAAGTCGTCGATTCGTAAGCTCCCTAATGTGCGCGCAAAGGAACGCGGGAAGGAGACAACGGGCGAGACGTCGCTTCGCCTGCCGTCTGTACCCTTCCCATGGTCCCTTGCAGTTCATCACCAGTCGCTTGCCTCTGCCTTGCGAAAAACGAAGCGCCTGAGGAGGAGGCTGGAGCTAGCCTATATCCTGGTCCTCATAAACCGACCACCGATAGATCGAAGTTTCCGAGATTTTCCATTAAGGTAAGTTATAGGGAGTCAACTATACATTAGTTTTGACGCTTGCGCTGTTCTTTAGGTTTTTACCGCAAACTTTGACCGCGACACCATCGTTTATCAGCATCTCAGTCCAGTGATCACAGCTCGATACTTGCGAATAAGGCCAACGGAGTGGATGAATTTTATCTCAATGAGGATAGAGCTCTACTCATATCAAGGTATGTACACGATTGACTAATACCATGTATCATTCGGACATTAAAACTAAATTTCTCCGATCTCATTCTCATCTCAGCCCTTGTTTGCAAGAGATACACCTGGAACGTACCTGGACATAACATCGCTGAGGTGTTTTCCTTTTCCAAACTTTAGCAGCTCATAAAACCATTGCGTTAGAGCGGCATGGGGTAACTAAAAATATTCTTCTCAAAATCAATAAGATGTTCATCTGATCAATTGCAGAAGAATGAGAAGATATGTCACTGAACTGGACTTCACAAATGCATCTTATCCGCTGACGATGGAGACAGCTCTAGCATTGAGGAGGACCCAATAGAACCCCCTGTAATCGCATAAGTGTCCTCCGAGGGCGAAGATGCAGTTTGTACACGTGGTTGAACCGGCTTATGGGAAGTGTCTGCTGGCAGAAGGTGTCCATAAGCGGGGGAGCGACTTTAGTCTGATACATTAGATTTGTAAAGAACAGTTGGGCCAACTCAGAATGAAAGCACTTGCCACTTAGCACTTAGTTTTCTCCTCTCAGCAACGACGTTACCGGTATAGGTAATAGCATGATTTGCAGTGATGTTTGGCATAAATACCTGGGCCCAATTGTTCGAAGGCCGATTAGCGCTTAACCTGGGGTTAAATTTAACCCTGGTTTCTTTTTCTTGTGCTCAAAAGCATTTTCTTGGATAATTTTCTCTGTTATTTTTAGAGCTTCTTATCATCAACCTGTTAACCAAAAGAATTAAAACTGAAATGCTTTTTAAGCTTTCAAATCTGAATTAAAATCTCGCATTAACCCTGGGTCATCTCAACCCAGCTTTGAACAACTCGGCCCAGGAGTGATATTTCAAAATTGTTACGCGAAATTTCACGAGCCGTTATCACAAGTGGTATTTATGCCAAATATCACGTACAAATCATGTTATTATTTGTTTATACTACTACCCACAAAAGGTTTGTAATTTTCACATGTACGTATTTCAAATTAAGCTGAAATACCACTGCTCTAAGCCAATCAAATTGCAGAAATTTCTCATGTAGTAGTATAAAGGGAGTAATAACGACTGGAAGTAATGGGATGAAATTCAGGCTACACTTATCCATGAAGAAGGCATTCAGCATATCTATCCCTTTCTTGCACGTTTGGGACTGAAATTCATGATAAGTTAGTATGTCTATATCAGACCCTGGAAGAAATGTAAACACGCCGAGGTTTTTCTTCAGAGGAGAATGAGGCAGAAATAGGGTAGGGTACTGAAAATAAAGAACGTTTGCTATTCAACATGTTACGCTGAAGATGTTTTCATAACTTGGTTAGAGAGTGATATGCAAATGCTTACAAGGCAAAATTTACAAAGCGCAATTCGCTTTTGAAGACATTTCCACTCTTTTTAACGATTATTCATTTGCTTTTACGATACCTTAATCCTTCATTTGTATGTTTCGTGGTCACTCTTACGCTATTAACCTAAGTCCGGATATCCTAACTTGATGTTACGGCCAGTCAAAAACACAATCTTACTATTCAAATTTTCTGCAAGCTGATTCGTTTAGAGTGTTTTAAACGCGACATTGAAATCATTTAAAATCGATCTTAGCTTTGCTTTGCAGTTTTTTTTTTTTTTTTTAGTTTTGTTTTGCAGTTTAAAGTTCAGCAAAGAGGACCAAAAGACCGTTGGCGTATTTTGTTGGGTTGTCACTAGGATGATTAGTAACACATACACAGTGCTCGGATCACAAGTGTCCGTAAACGCGTTCACTATAAGTCGTTCGGAGAGAACGCTATCCGTTAAAAGCGCGTGTCTGTAAAAAGGCACAGATGTACTGTGTTTCAACTGCTCGAAAAGGTCAAATAACGATACTTTGCTCACCAAAGGCCTGTTCACAGGCTATTCTCACACTCGGCCAATATTTGTTCATCAACTAAAGTTAAGTTAACGCCTTTAGGTCAGTGTTCACGTCAACGACGATGTATAATTTAACTTTGGTTAATACCAATACATCAATAATAGATGTATTTAAAGAGGTTCAAGTTGTTTATTTATAGTTCCTCGTAATCAGACAGTTCTCGTCTTAACTTTAGATTAGCCGTCTATACAAGCAGTTTTTTTTTTAAATCAAAATTACTGTACAATTTTCAGCTCAGAGTAACAAAAAAATACTCGAGCAAATAATACCTCAGCCATTCCTTAGGATAGAGAAGTATGGTAATCGTAAGACTCACTGTAGTATGGCAAACCAACCTCATGGCCCAAACACACGAACAAAATTAATCATTTTCTGATCGAGCTTTAGAAAAAATAATAGCAACGATGATTATTTTTCCTTAAATGTTGCTCATAAATGGCTTAACCTTTTTGCAGGTAAAGCATCCCTTTCAAATTTTAGATTTTGTCTATTTTGCGACGTCTCCTATTCTATACTTTACAAACGAGGAAACTGGACCGAGTTAACTTTCGCAAAGACTTCTGGGATCGTTACGGTAGACGGGGAAGACAAGCTTAAGCAACATCGACGCCGACGGCAACGAGAACGGCAATAAAGCAATAGGTTTAGATTGGCAAAACTACAACTTTGCACGTGCATCACACTTTTTTGCACAATTCCTTGCCGTCGCAGCAAGACCACAACGTGCAAGTGCCTAATTTCAAGTTTTGTCGAGGACGTGAACACAAAGCAACGACTTTCTTTTTCTTTTCCTGAACTTTGATACAGTCGTTTTGAATTCAATTCTAGAAAATTTGCCAGCATTTGACGAATTGACCGAGATGGAATAAGCCCGATAAAGTTTGAACTAGCGAGAATTCACTTTTTAGTGACGTTTTCGTGGCCGTCGCCGTCGTTGTTTTTTCCTAATAGGGACTTTAAGATCCAACGACGCGGAGGGCAACGAGAACGTCAAAAAAACAATTAGTTTCATAAGCAAAACAACAACTTCGCACGTGTATCACGCTTTTTTCTACATTTCTTTCCTGTTATTGCACGACTACGACGTTAAAATGCCTAATATTGCGTTTTATGGAGGACGTAAACAAGCAACGACGAAATTTTATTTCTCTTTCTGAGCTTGGATTTGGTCCCTTGAAATTCAGCTTCAGGAGGGTTCGCCTACCTTTGACAAAGTAAGTGGGTAAGAATAATCGCTATAAACACTGAAGGAACGCAAATTCACTTTTAAGCGAAGTTCTCGTTGCCGTCGCCTCGTTGGATCTTCAACTCCCTAAAACCTGACCAGCGCGTTCACAGTCAGATCCCACAAGTCCTTGCGAAAGCTAACTCGGCCCAGTTTCTTCTCGTTTCTAAGTGGCGAATAGGTTAAATTGTTTGTATTGATAACCAAAAGGTCAACAATGACGCTACGGAGTAAACGCAAACTTAAATTGTGCATTCCTTGAAGAAGGGATGGCCAGCTTATCTGTGAAACGCAATTTAATACCGTGTTTAGTGTGAATGGGCCCTTAACAACACTACTAGCCACGTGTTGCTTTGACTGATGAAGCATTGAAGTCTAAAGGTGTCAGGCTACGACTCAAGTAAACTTGTTCTTCCGTAATGGGATGTTAACCAGACTAGACGAGGGCGGCGGGGAAAAATACACATGATTGAACAGTCAAAGTATGGACTATTTTGAATTTTGTAGCCTGGCTTTATATTTAAACAAAGAAATGGTCCAGTTGTCTGAATCACATCCAGTCCAAAATCCCTTTCACTTCCTTTCACTGGAAAAGTGAAACAGTTCATCTCCCGCTTTTTGATATACCACACCAGAGTTCTCCCTTTGGCCTTTCCCGGCTTTCCGTTCTGTGGCTGTTTACACGAAACACCCTTCCCTTGGACAACATTTGGATCATTATACGTTTCTAGGAAACTGCCCACCTACCCCTCCAGGGTTACCAGAAGTGTTTGCGAGTGTTCCTGCGTCTTAAACGCCAATCATCTAATCAGGAATTACTACGTACTGGGTAAGTTACTGCGATGATTTAGTAATACAAGCGTTCTTTGCAGTCGCTACATATCACATCTGCAGTCACTGGTCCTTCACTGGTCTCTTTCCCTCCTCTCGACCAGAAAAGGCGTGGCAAGATTATTAACGTCATACAGTCGGAAACAGGGACGCGGTCGAATACGAAGAGATGATTGTGAGAACGACAGACCACAAATGCATCATGTTCCCCTGTAAGCCACGTAGTGAATAGGTATGTCAAAATTTCAAACCTTCAAACCTTAAGGTGTCTTTTTCCCCAAGACTGTAAAAAAAAAATATGACCTTTTACACCTCTCAAGCAGTAAAACCTTCCACTAGACTGCCATAAGCTACTATACTTGAGTGAGTCACGATGTCTTTTATGTCGTTATACCGAGAGGAATCTATTTAGTGTCAAATTTTCTGGTATCACCTTGTGAACCATTTGCGTGACTTGCGTGACGCACATTTTCAGCCAGTGCTTCCGCAGGTCACGTCATATTACGGTACCAAAATTTCCCCAGAATCAATTCAATAGCACCTCTCCGCGCTGCTGTAGGCGAAAACCTCATGATGTTAACGTGCGACGAGCCAATTTCGCGCATGTCAAATGCTGGTCAAACAAAGACCTTAGCCAACCCATCGGCGCCAGCGCTAGCAATGTACGGTCGATTAGGATGGAAAGCAACGTCATATATGGCTTCATCAAATTTCTTCCGATGTGAAGTTATTTCTTGGACGCATGTTTTGCTGTCCAGATTCCATAGACGAATAGAACAATCGTGGCCTTAAAAAAACAAAAGTGTGTCGTTAAATACTATACACTGTACTAACCATCTCGCTTTTTCATCGTCTAAGAGCAACAATGTATAATAAAACAATTCCATTTTTGTGACATAGGGAATAACCACGGACTTGGTGAGTATTATCACTTGCCTCGACCTTGATCTATATTCCGGTTACCATCCAATAATTGCTTATCAAATGATTGAATTGGCCTGACATTTCAATGCGGTCTTACTACTAAAAAAATACCTGCCACAGGTTTATCACTCGACCGCGTTTCCTAAGAGTTTAACTACCCCCGAGATCACCCGTTGACCAAAAAGCTTGAGGAATCTGGGTACAAGCATGACAACGTAATGCGTTTTTGCATGACATCACATGGTCCATTACATGTTGATGCACCTAAAGCAATAAAATGGCGTCCATTCTGGCTTGAGGCCAGTTAATTGGAAATTCTCTTTTTTATGTACACACCTGTTGTTGTTGTTCCAGTTGACTAAAATAGTCACCCGTCCCATGAGTACAACGCTCTATTTTTAAGGGACCCGGAAGAAATAATACTAATAATAAAATACCCTATAGATGCTCAGTTGAACACTATGAAATCTTATATTCATCATACTTCCTGAGAGGAGGTAGAGGCCATTGGGATCCACTGCCAGACTCGTGACTGCGTCCAGATGAGCTACCATGGTGTGGACCTGTTTACCTGTGGGGGCAGAGGAGATTATTGTCATATATTCAATTCAGTCGTGAAAGAATGCATTTTAATTCAATGTCTGAATAAAACGTGTACCCAGTGTCAAACGCGGAAAAATATGTAACTAGGGCAGTTTCAAGAGAGCACAATTATAAACAGCAAGGATTCCCGGGGACACTTCTGTCGAAGAATTAGAAAAAGAAATGGTGAAAGACCTTTTCTTAGCTTGTATGATGTTTTCCCAATTCAGCCCACGTTTTGTTCGGGCACGTGAATAAACGGAACATACAAGTAAAAAGGGTCTATTTTAGCCGACATGCATGCTTTAATATATTCAATGCTTTTAGTTCTCGATACTGGAACAAGTCAAACAGCCAGGCATTGAGAGTAATTTGTCACCCATGAAAGACAAGTGATTGGTAATTATATGGTATACTCAAGAAAGTAGGAGATAATTTCACTTGCGTTTTGCCAAAAATTTTAAAAAGCACGAATTACTTTCCTTTTACACTTTTCATTTGATTACACATCGGAATTCAACAATAGAACCAACCAGCTTGTATGATTTTGTTTATACTTACCAGAATTGTTATCGAAAAAGCGTATATGTCTGTCCTCATGTGCAGTGACTGTGAGGGGGAGGGTGGGGTGGCTGACTACTTTGTTGATTTGAGTTGACGGTGAATTATCTGTGAGTAAAAAAGGCAGTGATAGTAATAGCCCATTTCCGAGTTCCAAAAGCTCTCACCTCCAAAACGAGGCTAAGCGCAAAACCTTTCTTGTGAAAATTTGTTTTATTTGTACGAGAATAAAAAGTCACTTTCACATCAATAGCTTCGCACTTAACCTCGCTTGGGGCAACTAGAAAATAGCTTATTTACTAACGAGTGTAATGTTAACTAAATAACTGGAGGCGGTTCTAAGTTTCAAATATTAGGATAAGAACCTGCTCTTTTTATAAGAAAGGAGAGAGCTTTAGATTCTAAGACGAGTACGACTACGAGTACAAGTTTTTCTCATTACTACGTAGCGCTCGCGCGAGAACCACCGTTATTTTTTGCCGCAAAATGTGGTAGCTGTCGTCATTCTACTACAAGTTTTAGCGCGAATGTCGTGGTGGCGAAGAGAAGTTATCAAATGTTAGAGTTTTATCATTTTGCGATCGGGAGAGGGTGTAACCTCCTTCACTAACGATAACAGTGCAAACTTTTCTAGTGAAAAATGGTAAAATGAAGCTTTCCGGGAGGTTTATACTTTGAGAATACGCGAAAAAACTTCAAGTCAAATCTCGTACTCGTAGTCGTTCTCGTCCTCGAATCTACATGTAAAGGTCTCTAATAGACGTTTTTAAGCAACGCAGGTCAACCGGAAGTAGACTTTTTGCACACTTGAGCCGTAATTTTGAGCAAATTCTTGGGTAAATCGTCTCTATAAGAGTAAAGACACTTAGCAATACAAATTTGGCCGTGTCAAGGCATATTAAGAGAGAAGAAAGCTCACTTCCGGTTGACGTGCGTCGCTCAAAAAAGTTGCTGCTTAAGCACCCTAATGAAACATCCAGAGCGTGCTGAGGAGCTACTCCTGCCCATTATTCCTTTACACCGCACTGCACTTCAAAAAAACAACGTCAGTCACACGTCTTAAAGGGGCTATGTCACGAGAAGATATTGTTGTTTTCAGGTTAGTTCTGTGCTGGAGTCATTACTTAGTGCTTTTACCCATCGTTCACAAAATACCGGGTACTCTAATTCAGTTCTGGCCCCCTTCTCTCTGTCACGCAACGTCGGGAGAGATGGTCCCTCTCTCCTAGCGTTGCGTGACAGAGAGAGAGGGGCCAGAACTGGACAATGGGTACTCCTGTAGAGTTATGAAGATATAAACAAACTTCACCAGGTACATGTAACAATAACCATGATGATTTTTAGGTGATTTTTGCAGGAACATTATCAAAACTATTTGCGAATGATAAGCTCCGTTTATCGTTTGTCTCACGATAGTCGCTTAAAACTTTTTTTAATCGTTGAACGCAACGTTTTGACTGTTTTCTGCTGGTCTTCGTCAGATGCCGTTTGTCGATTACCCCTGCTGTAGTAATTACTGCCTGCCTGCAGACGTCTCCTATCGTGAAAAGTAGACGCGCGAGAGGCACGCGAAAGCCTTTTCGCGGCCCCTCGCGGCTCGTTTCGAACGCCCAAATAGGAGACCTTGCTCACAGGCTATCCTATCTCACGCTAGAAAGTTTCCTAGCCCTTCCAACATTGGACTATGTTGAACTAACAATAAGCTCGTAGTGAAACTAAAGCATATTATCAATTAGGACATTTCGATCCTAACTCATGCGAGGTTGATTTTAGCCCTTCCAACATTGGACTATGTTGAACTAACAACAAAATTGCAGTGAAACTAAAGCACACTATTAACTTACTGTATGTTTTTGCGCTGTCGAATGATACTACCGGAGCAGCAGTTTCCAGATCATAAATAATACACTGAGCAGATGAGTACGCAGCAACCATCTGAGACGTCTCAGTGCGAATAAAGTCGATTGATGTGGGAACGCCATCAGCTATTGAGGAGTAGAAAACATGGAATCAATGGTTAAACCAATCAAAAGACAGTTAGCCTCCTGCTGTGCAAGGTGGTTCTAACTTTTTAGTCGGTGGACGAAATCCCGATACGTATTTATCGAATTTCCGATACTGTTTATTATGTTGTACTAGGCAGTAGAAAGTTTTAAACTTGGTAGTTTGATCGCCCAAACATAAGCTAACGAGAAATATACCTTCCCATGGTACTGTTCAATACGTTGCATAAATTGCGACTAGACACACGGGGGACAAGACGAAATGCTTTGATGTGCACAACCAATTCAAAGCAATTACCATTCCTAAAGCTAAGTATGAAAGCGATAGACTAGTTCTTTATTATGGTTTGACGACAAGTTTTTTGCATATTAGAAAAAAATACCATATCATTTGGTTACCATATAATCTGACGGTAACATTTTAGATAGTCATGAAATCTTACGGCGAGGTAATTGAAACGAAGTGAGAGCTGACCAATAGAGACACCACTTACTTTGTCCAGGGACATAGCTGTTTAATAAAGGTGATTTTAGCGTGGGACTCCAAAGCTTGCAGGTTCCATCTGCTGAAGCAGAGAGTAACTGCAGCGAACCTGTCTGCACTGCTAGGTCCCATACTGCATCGGTGTGTGCAACAAGGATGGCACTCATATTTTCAGAATCTGGAAATGAATAAATTCCACATTATTATTGTCAATTATATACACTTCCGCTTCCTTTAAACAAACAAGACACGCAAGTTTCACCCATCATGAATCCTCCACCCATTGGCCAAACTAGGAAATGTGCCCAATGAAATAAGCGCCCCCGATCTCCCCTCAATATTTTGAATACATTTGACCCTAAAATGTTGGGACACACTCAATTAAAATTTCTGACTGAATTAATACATAGTAAGGATATCGTGGATATTGCAAGGAAGTCGTCTGATTTTTTATCCAGATTTTTCCAAACGTTGATTACACGAGACGCATGAAAGCAGAACCCAGAACAGTTTCACTACATTAAATCAGTTCCACTTCTCTTTCTCTACGTGCCTGCCATATGTTTTACTAACTCATTATTTCAGTTTGTCAAGAAAAAAATTGACGTTAGTGACCTCCCCCCCACCCCTCCATTAAGTGCCCCACCAACTTTTTTGCCAAAGGTAGACTGCGAGCAGTCTCTTTTTCTTCAGATTTAGTAAGGGGAGTGCACGCGCGCGCGAGCGTTGAGCGGCGAAGAAACGAAGGCGACAGCCCGTGCCTCTCCCGTCTCGCGCCTTCAGTCACGCGGGTGGTCATCTGCGTGTCTCGGGCGTTTTGCTTGACGGACTAAGAAAAAACAGAGACTGCTCGTAGTCTATGCCAAAGGTTGAAATACATGACATGTTTAACCTAATAAAATGCCAAAAAAGAAAGGAAAGAAATAATAACGGAAATAACTAAATAAATACTGTACTTTGAAAACTTACGGTAAGGTCCATAAGGATCGATATCAAGAGACGGGATACTCCAACAGATAATTGTTGAGTCAGCGCTGCCGCTGAAACACATCTCACTTGTGGAATTTATTACAACAGATAGAACAGGTGCACTGGGAAACGGAAAAAAATGAGTGTCAATGTATTTTGTGCTAAAGTACTGATTGAGGACTTCACTGGAGACGGGACCGCCATTCTACGATGTCATCCGAGCCACGCGAAGTTCTAGCAGTTTGCAGGGCAAAACCAAAGACCTGAGTATTGGTCCAGCCCCCCAGAACCTCACTATACGCTTTTTAAACCATAGTTTACACTTTGGAAATTTTATTCTTGTATTTCACTTTGCCATGGTTTCACTAATTCATCCCTGCAGTGAGCTAAGCAACACCTGGTGATGAGATTTCTGGGATTGCCTAGGCTACCACAAAAAGCTTAGTCTTTTCCAGGCTCCAACATAGTTATGTCAACTGACGTGAAAAACGCGCGGGGGCATGTTTTCACAACGTCCAGGTACTATCTGAGAGCCTGATACAGGGTAAACGTTACTAAAGCTGATACTCAGTCCCGGAAATCATGTGCTACTAGCACCCAGTCTCCCTGAAAATTCTTTCGTGATTAATAAAATGAAGCACACGTGTCTCTTCTGATGGCTGTAAAGTACAAATCACTCTCAACATAAAATACCTCAATGACTAACAATGGCCAATCACTTCAGTTGATAAGTAGGGATGTTTTTTCTTTTCACTCCCCCACTGCCACAACCCACACAGTTTTCGTGAAGGCACATACATGTAAAACAAGCCGTCGTTATAGCGAGCCTAACCGTAACGGTAACAGCAACAAAAACGTCAGTTATAAGCATGCATTTATGTTATTTTAACCTTCTGACTTTCTCAGTTTGTAAAGCATTGGGAAATTCCTCTTGGACTAAATTTTTCGAGAAACATTTGTGGTGGAATAATGTTTAAGTCCTCCAAAAATTGTTTCATTACAAATAAAACATTCGTATCATTGTGAGAAGCTATTTTGCATATAAAACGCACAACGCTTTTTGACATTCCAATCGCCACTACCCTTACGGTTACTTTAGCTCCGTAACGAAGAATACGATGAAGTGAATAAGTGATTTCTCTTGAAGTTACCTATGTCCTCTGAAAGTGTAGATTGGCTCAACATCTAAAATATTGCTCCTGTAAATTTGAAAAGACAGGGAAACATCACTACATGTATGTATTCTGTGACATATATGCATACATAGGGCAAAGTACTTCCACAGCTGATATCATTCAGGGCCCAGTTGTTGGAAGGCCGATTAGTGCTAACCTAGGGTTAAATTTTAACCCAGGTTTCTTTTTCTTTTGTTCAAAAGCGTTTTCCCGGATAATTTTCTCTCTTCTTTTTAGAGCATCCCATCATCAATTGCAGGCAAAAAGAATACAACTGAATTTGCTTCTCAAGCTTTCATATAATATGAAATCAAATTTCTGGGTTGACTTAACCCTGCTTTGAACAACCCGGCCCTGAACCATACAGAGTAGCAAAGGAGCAGTGTACTTTTATTCTCATCATTACCAGCACCCTGGTACAGTCAACTCCCGGTATACTGGACACTGTAGGGACCTTGAGTTAGTGTCCTTATTAGCAAGGGTCCGCAATAGCGGGAGTCCATTTCAGTCAAACGTCTGCAAAATGTTTTCGCCTAGGATTTAGCTGCTGTCTGATTTATCAGGATGTCCATTATAGCAGGGTGTCCGGAAGGTGAGAGTTGATTGTATTACTGTTCTGGCTTCTACTACAGTCAACTCTCTCGAGGCAGACACATTTGGGACCATCGTAGAGTGATGCCTGCCTTATGCATGTTGCAAACTGCAATTAATATAGAGAGCAAGAAAGAAAGGGAACAACTCGTGGTGTCCGTTTTACCGAGGTGTCTGTTAAGAGAGAGCCGACTGTATCACCACGACTCCCAAGAGAACAATAGTTGAGAAGTTTGATGCGAAGTTTAAAGTATTCTATGAATCAATAGAAAGGTAATGTGCATTTACCCTACGTTGTCAACCAAGAGTACTATACGCATTTTTTAGTTTTATAATGCACTCTATACCAGTGTTTTGCAGGGAAATTTTTGCCACATGTAACGGAATTACAATGATGTCACTTACAGATGTTAATAGAAACCAGTTAACAACTACTACTGCCACAGAGTTCAAGTTTACTCATATAAATAATAGCCTGCGTTGCAAACGTAATCTGACCTTGGTTAGTAACGTCTGCGAAGCAGCGCCAAGATCCTTGTTCTCGACCCCAAACGGACTGAAGGAGTCACCAGGAGTGTGTTTCGAATTTCCTTTTCTCCTCATTAGTAAATCGACGATGGATTTTTAATGTGCCAATCACGGCGCTTACTCAAATCTTGGTACACAGGTGGAGGCCCAGAACCGAACAAGGATTTTGGCACTGTTTTGCAGACAGACTTAACCAGAGTTAAGTTTTGTCTGTGGCACAGCCTAATAAATAACTATTTGAAATAGAAATTGATAGAATTTAAAAATCTTACTTTTTCTGTGGTACAGTCTTTTGAAGATTCCATAATTTTAGTGAGTGATCTTCTGAAGCCGTTATGAGAGCAGCTTCAGTCGGATGAAAATAAAGAGACCTTATACTGTCAAAGTGACTGCAAAATAAATTCAAATATACAATCAAAGTAATAAATACATAAATAAGGATGAAGAAAACAATAAGTCCCACAAAGGTCCTATAAAAACCACAGCTACAGGAAATGCAAAAACTGATGCTATTTATTTTGCTCATGAGCACGAAGCAGAAAAACTTGTCCAAGGATTATGACTTGATCAGCACAAATTCTATTTATTTTGTCTGAGTAAGGCCTGGTTTGCAGTCTCATCAAGGTACACCCAAAATACCTCCATAACTGCCCATATTGCCAAGGATACTATTCCGATATAAGACGAATCAAGTTGCCATACCAGCCATTAAAACAACCTTGCAGGCATGCCAGCAGTATCAACTTGTAATGGCTTTTGTGACAGTATCCAAGGCAGGACCAACAGCTACGTCACAGGTATCCAATGTAAGCAGGTGGCTAACAAGAACCAGGCTTGATACAACTGAGCAATCAAGAAACATGTCTTCCTTTGAATGATTAAATCTGTATGTGCAACTCTGTTTTGAAGTTTAAAAAATATATATTTACAGGAAACCTTTTCAGTTCTGGGTACCTTCTTAATGTGTACTTCGGGCTCCATGTCTTCCTAAATTCTTCCTTAGCACTCACCTAAAGAAAAACAATGTTTAATATTACATGTACATCATGACCACTGCACCTCAACAACTCTCATTGAACTTAAACTTTCTAATAAGAAATTCTATTTGTAGCTTTGATACAAAAAAGGTGTCTAAGGAGTAGAACTCAGAGTCAGTAAGAACAACTCTAGCTAGTGATGATCAGATTGGAACTGGGTGCTCTGGGACAGATTTCAAGCCCTCCAACCTAATCAATCAATTATGGTGTCTCCTGATTTTTTTCTTATTAAACCGGGGTTTTCCTCAAGAATTCCAGTAGCAGGAGAAAGGTGTAACTTTTGAAACAGGCCCCACGTCTGAATAAAAAGTAGTCAGAGGCTACCAAACATTAGTGGGAGAATTCTGTGCAGTAAACAGAAAATTCTCCGATCTCGGACGCCTAATGAACACCCTGTTAAACTACTAGCTGCTAATATCTTTGAGTTCATTGCATCATTAACTGTACAGAGTATAAATCATGCCTGTGAGTACAGCTGTACGTGCAACTGGGTAACTGATGGTACAGTTTTATTGTGGGTATAAGTACTGTGCTAGTAATAGGGAGTTTTAGCATTTACAATGGCAACGGCAGCAAAACGTCAAACAAACAGTGAATTTGTGCTGCTTTTAACTTCTTCTTTCTTATTCCATCTTGTTCAATTTGAGTTGTTGTTTTACTTATCAAATCTATTGCTTTTTTTGCAGTGGTTGTCGCCATCGCCACATTTGTTGCTAAAGCTCCCTGATGAATACTAAAACAGTGTCTCAGAACTCCAAGATCAACTTTTTTCAAAGCAGCCTTTAGGTGACCTAAAAGTATAAAAATTAATGGTTGCTAGATGCAAAATATTGCCAGTCAGAGGGAAAAGGACACCTTGTGCAACATTTCATGAGGGTTTTAAATAATCAAAATGGCTGCCCAACAATTTCAACAGAATTGGAAGAGCACAATGGCATCTCAAGGCTTAACCTTGACAACCATGGTAAAAGAGAAGAAAATGGAGCATAAACAATATTGAATGCAAATGTTTACCACAGTTTAGCTTTAGAAATCACAACAAGTAAGAGAACTATGGTTTGATACCTGACCAAATGGTGACTTCTGCTGCAAGTTTAGTCGCCAAATATTATTTTTACTTGCCATGGTAACAAAAATCGTCACTGCTTGAAGAACTGTTTCAAGTAAATTATTGTAATAAAGATTTAGTGGGATACAAATAACATTGACACTTACTTCATAAGAGAGTGCTTCAGCTTCATTGGACACAGTAAGACTTGCCAATTCACCAAGACCAAGTGCACTCTCAAAAGGTTCATCCACTGTGGTTGTGCCCGCACCTGACGAACTACTCGGTACTGAAACACTAACTATGGGTGGAATCTCTGACGTTGCACGAGAGCCACTTAGTCTGACTGGGGGTGGAATGTTTATGATGGGAGGGGCAGGAGCAGAATGTGGCATTTCATCCTCTCCTTCTAGATTTGCCAGCATGGCCTGAAGCACTGACTTTGTTGGTCCTATGATTAAAGAAAAAAATAATAAATTATAAGTACTTGAAAAAAGTCCCACTGGGTAGTTGGGAACAAGTAGATTTTCTTGCTGGGCAGGAAATGTTTCTTGCTCACTTGCCTAATGGGCAAGGGCCCAGGAAAGTCATCCTCTGACAAAAATCATTAACAAAGTGCAAGAAGTGGCCACAGGCAAGTAAAATGTCAGAAATTCTTGCCCAAAAAGGACATGCTGCAATTTAGTCATTTTTCGAGCCCTGCATCATCCATTTGATTCATGTGCTAGGCAGCTTTACAGGGTGTATGGGATTATAAAAATGGAAATTAATATTAAACTCACTGCAAGAGACCTTTCTAGCAATTCTACTCTGTCAGTAAGCCACAAAATGAAATGAAGTTAAGGCTTTCATGGACAATCTCACAAAAACCACTGTACTGTATTTTGACAATTCAAGCCTTGAGTTGGTACTTGTGTCTTTTACTCAAAGGAAAGTGCAAAGATATCATTTATAGTGATGAGCTTGTTTGGTTCTCTCAAGTTACTCCTTTTAACTTTGCTGCCAATTGACTGCTTGAACTTGCTTACTTTTTGGGCTCTTTTTGTTTTTCTTCTCTTTCTTGTACTGTTCCTTTAACTTTGCCAAGTACGTTGAATCAACTCCCCACTCATTCTAGAACATCAAATCACACAAACTAATCAACCACAATCCTACAATGATTATTCTTTAAATTCAAAGTAACATGCGTGGATTGCACATTTACTATCCACAATATCTCATGAATGGCCATGAACGGTAAAAAGCACAAACCTGGGTATCTGTTTCATCCCTGCTTTCTAAAGAGAGAAAAAACAATTGAAAAACCAAATATAAGAAGAGCATACCACTAAAAAATTATATGAAATAGCTGTATTAATTTATTGGCATAAAAATAATCATTTTTTTAAAGTTCTAGACAGAAAAGAAATAATCAGATTGTTTCCAAAAATTTTATAATCAAATAACAAGTTCCTCTGCAGGCTGCCTAAAAGCAACTTAAAGAAGTAAATACAGCTGTAAATAACCCTTAATCCAAGAGGAAATTTGATGCTGATAACTATTAAGGTGATGTTACACAGGGCGATTCTCAACAATGATTTTTAGCACAACACAGCGATGCAATGTTGGAACAATGTTGTAACCATTCAAAACAATGTTGCAACAATCATGCAACGCTATGTTGCGCTAAAAATCATCGTTGCAAGTCGTCTCCTGTAATAATAATAATAATAGGTTTTATGGCACATTTAATCTAAATAAATTATGTACAGCAAATTATTTCTAAAAAGAAAAGTTTTCAAATATTGCTTTAAAGTGGAAACAGATTCAGAGTATTTGATGTGATCAGGTAAACTGTTCCAGATTTTCAGTGCATAATATAAAAAAGAGCAGTGTCCATAATTCACAGTATTAACAGAAGAAACTTGTAAAAGCAATCCACTAATGAGAGGAGTAAACGATCCAGTTGGTATTAGCAAGGAGTGAAGAAAAATATGCACTTTTTAATGAAGTAGCCTGGCCACAGACAAAAGTAAACCTCTGGTTAAGTCAGTGCTGAAATCCTTGTTCTGAGTCCCCACCTGTGTACAAGGATTTGAGCACGCACCATGATTAGCCTGTTTAAAACCCCATTGTCAATTTACCAATCAGGATGAAGGGAAATTCAAAATGTACTTCCAGTAAGTTGTTGAGTCTGCTGGCAGTTCAAAACAAGGATCTATGTGTTGCTTTCCAGAGTTAGATTAGAATGTAAATCTGTGATACAGGTTATAACAAGGGGTTCTGATAGACATTCTTATAAAGACCTTGTGTTGTAGGTTCCTCTGGCATGTGAATATCTACATCACCACTGTCTTCCATTTCAATCACTGTTACGTCTGTTTCTGAGCCAGAGTCTTCACCCATCACAAAATCAAATTCTGCAAGCGCATCTGCTGTTTCCTCATCAGGAGTTAACATTTCTTCGACAGCATCTTTGCTCACATCTTAATTTAAAAAAGCCATAAAAAAGAATAAAATAAATATTGCTAAAAAATTAATCACTTCGTACAATCAGGGCTGTCAAAAAGTTTTTAAGTAGCAGGCTGATAATGAAGATTAGGCGGCTTTGGAACTCGCACCAAAGGCACAAGTTGTCAAGGGCTGAGGCATCTAGGAACATTTTGAAATTTTGAGTCTCAGAAATGGTATTTCCAGGGGTTTTTTATGAGAGGTATTTTCCACCGTGGACGCCATGTTGTTTCGTCAGTAAACAAAATGTCCCGGGCATTCCATGACATCACACGCTTCTAAACCCATTTTAATATATGCAGTCAATGGCATTCAAAACTAGGAAATGGATGCTTTACAATTTTATTCGATGGTGCTTATTTTTTGTTAGCAGTTATGGTAGAAGGAGATGAAAGTAGCTGGCTAAGGATGGCTAACTAGCCGGCAGTTTTGGCCGGCTGCCCGCCCTTATTGAAAGCCCTGACTATGTTACAGTAGATGCAGGAGTGCCAGGAAAAAGCCCAAATGACTTTTGACATTAAACTACAGTGGAACCCTCCTAACTCAAACTCTGACAGGAAACGAAAAACAGTTTGAGTTAGCGGGATTTCAAGTTATCAGGTTAAATTTCAGTGAAATTTTGTTTAAAGGCCCATGTTCACCCAAACGGCTTTGCGCGCTTGTGGTTTTGTTTTGAAACGATTCTTTTGTCAAATGCAGTGTTTTGATTGGCTTCCACTGTGAGGAGCGTTGCGTGACGATACTAAAAACGACTGCGAGGGAGACTACAATTGTGACCCTATTTGGGAAAACCGGGCTTAATGAAATTTGCGTTGAAAAGCATTTCAACGCATTTTGAATGCGTTACAATGCATTGAAACGGATTCCAATGATTCTCAACGCATTTACAAGGTTTTCCTTCAAACGCAGGCAATTGTTTTCAACGTTTTAAAATGTTTTTCCAACGTTTTAGAATGTTTTTCCAACGTTGTTCAATGCATTGGCAATGCTTCCAAACGTTTTTTTTAATCGATAAAATTAGTTCCTGAAGTTCAAGCCAGGATGCGAAAAATTACCATTAATTGAAGCCACTGATGATTAGACATCGATACGCTTGAGAACTTTCTTTGAAAATACAACTTTTTTTCAGGAACAGTAAGGATACCTCCATATCACAGTAATATCAACGGGAATAACGACATGAATTCGCAATGGAAAACAAAGGCTTTTACTTTTTGTTCTCGATCGGTTCAAATCAATTTGCATAGAACTTTGATCTTTGTGACATTGCGTGTGCTTGATGTTGTTTCAGGTTGTAACATGTCAAGAGGTAATTGAGAAAAGCATGAAATTACTTTCTTGGACTTTCAAATCTGGAAATAAAGGAGAGAAGTTTTTGAGAAGTTTCTTAAAACTGTAAGGCTGACTGTTGAGGTCGTGCATTTCTTTTTGTACGTAGCTGGCTGACAGAATTTTGGGGTTGCCAATTATTTGCCCTTTTCTACCTTTGTCAGCGGCGTGCTAGACTGCTTGCAGTCGGTTAATTCTCACATCCCTTTCAAAATTAATCCGTTCCGGCTCCAAAATCCCTCGGGGAAAAGATACAAGACGAAAAAATTGGGAGAGAGCGAGACCAAAGGTAAGAAAAATAGTACTTCAGTAATTCCGACGAAATTGAAGTCGCGACGATCGCACGCAGAAGATTTTAGAGATTAAAAGTGACGACCACATTGCGCGCTTGCTTGACAACGTTAATCGAGCGATGATGGCAAAGAAATCTGCCAAAAAGTGTGCTGTACGTGTATAAAATGAGAGCCAGCGAGTCATGCGAGCATTGCAGTCCATTGAAGAATCAGTGAAAAATCAAAACAGTAATACAGAAAACATTACCGCGTTGACCTTTCCGAACCCTTGAGCCGTGATGACGGTAGTGTCACGCAACAAGCTTTGATCAGAAAATATTCGTGATCATAAATTTTGACATCTTCATAACAGCTGACTGGTACAGAGAAAAACCATGAATTTTTTGTGAAGAATGTCACGTTTTCAGGTTTTCGCTTTTAAAGGATACAATGTCTAGCGTTTGCCAGGGCGTTCCGTGACTGAACTGGTTGAATTTGTTGAATCCCCGAGCAAGAAAACGGGAAACACAGGAAGAAGGAAAAGTCGGTAAATAGTACAACTCTCCCGGTAGAAATTTGGTATATTTAGTCTTAAAATCAGCGAACCATATCAAGCATCTGATATCTGTTAATTTTACAGGGAGCTATCAAACAAGGTAGTCACAAGCATGCACACCGCCATAACACTGAAAGATCTGAAAGAACAGCATAAAATAAATTCAGACCTATAACACTTTCGACAACGCGCGAGTTCTTTAAAATTTAATTCCCCTCTTTTTTGCCCTCTTTAATAACACAGACTTAAAAACTGAAAATGGAACAAATTATTGATTCCTCGGATCGAACATTTCTCATGCTGTGAAGTTTTACACGTTTTATCACTTTATTTATGACCGTGGCTTTAAATTGTCGAATGATGGAGTGAGGAGATGCCTGACAGTTCGGAGCTTTTGTAACTCAGTCGTTGACAATGTTAGCATGTTTGGTGAATGTTTCCCGTTGCAACGAATTAATGATGTTCCATTTAATGCATTTTCAACGTTCGAAAACGTTTTCCAAATGTTTTGAAATGATTTTGAAACGATACTGAACGTTTCTTAGTTCCGTTGGAGAACATTGCCAACGCTTTCAAATGCATTAAGAATGTTCGCCAATGCATTCCAACGTTTCCAAATGCGTTGCGATAAAAAACGGCTCAACGCAATTTTCGTTAAGCCCGCTTTTCCCAAATAGGGTCACAATTGCAGCTTTTTATCAGAGAGGCCAGTAAGACTTTGAATTCTTTTTCAAATGGAGGAAGATATATCGCCGACTTCGTTAAATGCCCAGGGTTAAATGTCACCGCAGAAAGCAGTTCAAAATTTAAACTGGTGGTGAATGCATATGGATGCTTTGTTGAGTCCGATGAACACAATGAAGGTCATAAATTATGAAACGTCTAATAAGCACCAGGTGAGGTTTTTCTGAAGCCCGATTTGACTGTGAAATGTTTTGATTCCTCAATCTATTATTTTGTGTTAATTCTTAGGAAGCTTAGGTACGTGTGCTCGAAAGAATAAGCGAGAAGTTGTGTTTGCAAAGCGTCGAATCGGCACTGCGTACGGTCTTGTCGCTGTAATCGCTGTATTACACTTTCTTTAGGTTTTGCTAAGGATTGGTTTGCTAATAAGAGTTCTTGCTACTTTAGAGCCGGATTTAATCGTGATACGCCAGACAATAAGTTTACGTTAAGGATATCACTCGCTTCATAGGTTATATTAAATAAAACATTGTTCATGTTAGATTGACTCGCTTGTTTTGCTTTCAACTGATTTCAACGGGACCTTTAATTTGTTTACAATTGAACATTCGATGTAGAAGGAACTCGGCAAACACGCTGTCTGTAGAATTTACAGCCAAGAGTTTCTTTCCCATCTCTCCAGGGATTAAAAAAAACGGATTCACGGAGACGAATGTACTTCGGCGACCCCCGTCGACGCAGTCTTCCAACCATGCTTCCAACCGTTCGTTTCGATGGAGCCGCCATCGAAAGTGCTGCAGTGAAATAAACTCTCACAGAAACAAAAAAGCTCGATATCATTCCAAAATATCCAAGAAGATGTAAAGAAAAATACCAAAAGAACTTGTTGAGACTTTCTGTTAAACCAGATTTAGCGAACTGTAGAAGATTAACAAAGATTGACCTTACACACTAAAGGCAGCGATTTTCAACTACGCGAAATGTATTTTCTGGAGTACAGGGCACGCAATGCATCTAGGGTGAACATGGGCCTTTAAGGGGAAGGAATGTGTTAATCAATGTGCTAATTTATTTTAGGATGACCTAGTTAAAAGGCTTTCTAAGGTAGATGCATTTATAAACAAAAAGAGACTAACATGGGATCACAAAAATTACATTTGTCCAAAAAAGCTATTCAAATTTCCAGGAGCAAATGAGTTAAAAATGCAAAAAGTGCCCCATTTCAAGTGCCCACTCTCAACACAAAAAAATTCAAGGGCACTACACTGTAATTTACAGTAACTAACCTGGTTTCGCTCTCTTGGCAAATCTTCTTCCCACTCTCATGTCATCTCGATCCTCCGATTCATCATCAGCACTCCCTCCATCGTCTAACTCATCATCATTATCTTCTTCATCTTCTACATCATTCTGGAGGAAATCAAAGTTTGCAAGTACTGATGCTTCTGTTTCAGAATCATCATCTAATGGAGCATCTCTAGAACTGCCTGGTCGCACTGGAGGCCTGTTGAAAGAATACATGTACCACTGTGTCACATACTGATGTAATTAGATGCAATCTGGAACAGTAAAACGTGAACATGAGATCATCCCAATTCTTTGGACCTGGATAAATAAGTCAGGAAAAAAGAGATTCAGATTAATCGAGAATGCGACTAGAAATAAGGTCTTCACTGTAGCCAGGTGTTGTGAGGGGATGAATCCCATGGAGTAGTGACAGAGATGCTCAATGGAAAATTAGATGAGGGGTGCTGAATGCCCCTCAGCATTTAAAATGCACACAAGGATTCCTTTTGCTCTTTAAAATGACAAAGGATTTGAAAATTCATTCGAAAAATCTTGGGGTAGACAACAACAACCTAATATTTGAAAAGTTCGAGATACAGCCATTCAGTAAAAACTCTAATAATAATTTCCTAAGAAATACATGGACGTCCAGACAGTGCATCTGGCAATCCATACATCTCTTAGTAACTTTTCAAGTTTTTAAATAGCTGCATCTTTTTCACTACATGCCCGATTAACACCAAACTTAAGAATTTTGCAAATCTCGCTTTCCTCTTGCTGACCACGTGGGTCTCATGTTGTGTATCCCACAATACACAGACTCGTACCAGTCCTTCTCGTTTTGAAACTAGGCAATGACAATTCTGTTAAAGAAGGGCTTTGTCACATACACAGAGCTTTCCTTCAACTTTCCAGCCATAGGACCAAAGATGAAAAAAGAAGTCATTCACTGAGGACATTAACTTGAGGAAAAATTTATGCTTCGTTAAAGAATGTGAAAATGAGATACATGTATGAGGTTGGCCAATAAAGGGGAGGGGGATAAAAATAACAGTTAATTGATCCTGCCCGCTGCTACAAAAAGGGGTATCAAGTTCAAGACTGATTGTTTCCCTAATTACAAAGTTAAGCTCTAAGAAAAATAAGGGGACCCAATGCTCGGAACCTGTGCCATCCTGCAGCAGCATAGCTCAGCATAATTATGACTGTTATTCAAACACACAAATAGAAATTTTCCAAAGTGATCTCCATTCATTTCCTTACAGAAATAGTTAACACAATTTGATAAACGATCAAAGAATTTTTCCTTCTCTCTTGATGATGTATAAATATTGTCAGGAGAAAGCTAGCGTTGATCAATCTTGGGATTTAAACGGGTTAAGAGAGGAGGGTTCTAAATAGCACAGGTATTTTTTTGACATGGAACATCTTACCGTTTTCCAGGGGGTATAGAAATCATACCATCAGCTTCTTCTTCTTCTGAAAGTTTTCTACTCGATTCTATTCTCTTAGGGGACCGAGCATTCTCGTCGATAACTGCAAACTCCTCTCCACGACCTTTACCAGAAATTCCATTAGTATGAGGATGGTCAGGAGTAGAATCTGCCACTGAGAGGCCAAGAATAGACCTTACACGTGATGAGCGCACATCTAAAATAGTGTCTGTGTACCCAACCTCTTGAAGATACCTGGAAAAACAAGGTAACGTCAAACACTAATAATCATATCAACCCTAGCCTCCCCTCCCATGCAGATGTTCTCAGGGCTTTGTCACAGGTTTCTTTCCCACAAACGTCTGGTGAACTTTTTCTAAACAAGATTGATCACAGTTCATCTGTAACTTGAATTCCCCTAAAAATCTTTGCTTGCTCAACCAAATACACCTGTATAAATCAAATTCACTAGCCTGATAGCCAAATGCACTAGCCATGTGGTCATGGTTATTTAAACGTTATTGTGAATTTTTTTGGCACTGTGCACAATAGACAATAACAAGTTGATAAAACCATTACCAACCCTGGACTAAATGAAAGCTCCTTGTACAAACTGCATCACATTTGCCTTCGTCTCTGATTTTCACCAGCTTTAAAAATCAGTCTCTTTTACTAAATACTGTATTTCCTTGAATAAGCATCCAGGGTGCTTATTTAAAATCTTGGCTAGGGTGCTAATTTTAAGGAGGGCCCTTAATCAAGGGGATAGCTTATTAAGTTCTCCAGTTAGTAATTAAGCATACCTTAGTCCCATTACAGTTTTCACACACAGAGTTATCAATAAGTGGCAATACATAGAAACAGGTTTTCCTTATAATACCATCATACATGTAGAAAGTGATGGGGGAGGGGAGGGGTGCTTATTTAAACGAAGCACTTATTCAATATTTGGGTGCTTATGTGGGGGAGGATGCTTCTTAATTAGAGCATGGGTGCATACAGTATTTAAGGAAATACAGGATGCAAAAATCAAGGACTAAACTTACTGCCGCAAAAGTTGACGCCCCTGTCGCCAGTTGACTCCTTGTTTACTGTTATTGGTATTTGCATCATGGCAAGGCTCCTGGTTTACTATTTCTTCTTCCTTGTTTACTTTTTCTGGCGACAAATCTGTCCCATACTTTAATCTATGATATTTTGCCCTGTAACAAGGAAGTAAAAATTACATGATTATGAACAAAATACAAACAATATACCTTATGAGAAAAGAAAGTAATATTAACATGTCACGAGTGCAGAAAAATTCTGAGTATGGCCTAGCCTACATGTATGTAACTCAGTGGTTAGAGCATTCAACCAGCGTGTGGAAGGTCATAGGCTCAAATTCATATCAGGGACACAGATTTTTTTTTGTCCCACATTCATGACATGTTGATTACATCTTTCCTCATTTCTTTACTGAGCTTAAAATTTTCCATCATTCTTTATATCATTGTACAAATAATGTTTTTATCTTTCATGGTGACCACAGTAGCCACAGCTTGATTTTAAGATACTATTAGATGTAACAGCAAAGCCTACCTAATATGAATACCAAAGAGACATGGCAGCCAGAGTATGTACAGTGTATTACAGGAGAAGAAATATTATGGAATTGTATGAGAACAGTATCTTTGGGACCAAATGAGCTGCCCTTTATAGAGAGGTGCCTTAATCAAAGGGTTTGATACATAGATCTTACAGCATGTGGAACTATGACTGTGAGAGAAAGAAACAAAACAAGCTGTGCCCCAAACTCAACTTTCTTTAAAGCTGCCTTTATGCAACCTAATATTATAAAATGGTTGCCAGACATAAAATATTGGAGGCCACAAAAAAAGGAGTGACAGTTGATGCAATATTACATGAATGGTTTGAAATAATGAGAACAGCAGCCCAACTATTCCCATGGAATTTGAGTGTTAATGTGATATCTCAGGGCTTTAAACCTGGATAACAAAGAGAAAGTAGATAAATTTTCAAGAAAATGGAGCACTTAATAATGTTTCATGCAAACATTTATTAGGGCTCACAAACTATTTGAATTCCAGCTTAATGTCCAGTGGGCAAGCAGCTTTCTCAAATTGCTTTCCCAGGGCCACTTCCTGCTGGTCTCAGTTAATGATTTTGTTGGAGGATAACAAGTCGTGGGGCAAGTAAGCTTTAAAAGTTAATTGACCAATAAGAAAATGTTCTTGTCCCAGACTACCGGGCCAGACTTTCTTCAAGCCCTGAGTTATAAATCCCAATTGAGCTGTAAAAAGACCATAAAAAGCACTAAAAGCACCAAAAAGCATTAAAAGCACTTTTTTAAAAGCTTGGCAGACGACCACTGAACACAGATGGCCAAATTGGTAACTTTACAGCAATGTTAGTTACCCAAAATTATTTCTACTCAGCTGGATGGCCAAAATGCTTGCAGCTTGAAGCACTGCAAACTTTACAATACCTTTCCTGTTTGAGAGCATACTCCAGCATCTTAATTCTTCTAATCAAATCATGTTTGAGTTTCTCCTGTCCTTTCCTCTCCCCTTGAAGAAATGCAATACGTGCCTGAAAATAAGATAATGGTATCCACATGTTTAGTACAAACTCTACAGCCCTATGGCATGGTCATATTCACAGACACTGTAACATCAACAGCTTTCCTCAGCAATGTAAAATAATTTGGAGTCATCAACATGCTTCTTCTCAAGGTATTTATTTTAGACTCAATGATGTGTCAGAGGAGAAGCATTATTAATGGTTACTATTATTGGAGTATGGAATATCTACATGTTGAGATGTACATCATTGAAGTCTGTTAATTAGTTTCAGGAATCAGTCAAGATTTCATTGATCACAGGCAATAATTAGATTGTCAAAAACAATGGGTTCACCGTAATCAGATAAAAATTAATGTACATGCACCCTACAGATTTGTCTGCCACTTTCATCTAAAAGAGCATGTATCATATTTGTTTCAAGTTTTTTTCCTATAATGAATTAATCACATACCATTATTACCTACTAAAGTGGACATACCAGGAGAAATGGCATGCTGTACAATAGGACTGGAGTGGACCTGTGAAGTTTGAAACCTCCAGATCCTTTTTTGAGGGAACATGGTTTCTTTAAATATTTTCTTTCCTAAGGGCACGCTACAGCTGTACACCTTTGGGAGTGTGTAAAAAAAACCATCTTTATGAATAAAGACTACAGATGAAGACTGCTCTTCACCTGAGCAAGTTTTCTTCCTTATGACAGAATCTTTGATTTTAAGGACCTTAGACTACACAATGTCATCACAATAGACTTACAATAGCAGACATGTAATAGCCCCTACTATAGATCAATTATTCCTTCTGTCAGAAATAACAAATTCCTTGATATGGCTTTATGAAGGAAAAGAACATGCTTGTCCCAGAAAAAAAGGCGGATGGGACTTTTTAAGTCGATTACACTAGTTTTAAATTTGCAAGCTCAATGTCCATAATATTCAATATAGATAGTAATTATCACCTTTTTCATTACAATGGTATTTTTGTTTTTACCTACAATATTAACTGTTAGCCCAATTATAACTTACTGTTCATGATTTCAAAAAAGTACATTAAATTATTAAGATCCCTTGGAAATAAAGAAAAGGAACTCAAATTGGTCCTCAGTGATTTTAAAATCTCTGATCATGATTTTATTAATAAACCACTGGACGCTGAATTATTAATTCTATCATAACTTTTACTAAGAAGTCAAGGGATACAATAAAAGTCAGCTAAAGCACTGTGCTTGATTTCATTCGCCATAAACACATAATAATCTGTTCAATGGAGCTTGTTTACTAAATTTCATTAGTAAACAACACTACTCAGACAACAATATTTCAGACTATAAAATAACTGTTTCAGGACACTGCTATTTTTCAAAAGAGAGAACAAGCCAAACAACAGACTTGACATTTAACTTGTCAACAAGCTAAGAGGGGTTTAATAGTGCAATTGAGTTTTGCTTAAAAGAAATGAGATTATCCCTTACTACACTGTACAGCTTTATCTGACACCACAGCTGACTTTACACCATAATATAAACCAACTCCAAATATTACTGTGCATCATCAAGGAATATTTTGTTTAATATAGACATATATAAATAGATTGACATTTGCTTTTTTCAGGTAGAAATCTTAGTTTGTCGTTTAAAGCTACTGTGAGCCAAAGAAAAAAGATTTAAGGAAAATTCAATTAGCGAAAGAGCACGCCATATAAGCCTGAATCTTAAACCAATGCATTTGAAATTAAATTGGACTCAAAATAAAAACACCATGACTTCGTCTTCTTCGATCTTAAATGAGAACATTACACCAGAACAAAGAAAAACTATTTTGAAACTCGCAAAATGGGTCATCGTTTGAGAACTATAAAGAACCAATATATATCAAGATTTCTGCATATCATGAATTGAACATCAAGCTTGCATTAGTGAAAGATACGCACGATTGTAATTCATCGGCTTTACGACGATACATTTACACGAAAAGAGACAACAAGGCTTAATGCTTTCACATACAAAAGACGAGTTTCTGGAGGACCTTTTTCCAAGTATTCTATCAAGATGATACTTCGCAAGTAACTTTACGTTGGACCAAAACACTCCAAAGATCAGGTCAACAACGAAAAGCTAGGCGAAGGGTAATTTATGATCAAAAGGAGGAGGTTAAGTTTACAACAATTCCCCCTTAAAACGCCACAAACATAGATTGTATAGCGTACCAGGGTATTTTATACAGTTGTAAAGAAGATTTAACATTCAAAGGCTTCTGAAATGACAGTAAATTATATATATTACCTGCAATTCTGCCTTTTCCACATCCCAGTGAGCGCGATCCATCTCAAATCTAGCCCATTCATGTTGAATAAAGTGTAAAATACCCGGTATCGTGTATTTTATGCTTGAGTCACTCTCTTGGTTTTGAGACGAAACGGGAATTTTTCCCCCACTGTCGTTATCCATGGCAAACTTGAAGCGACAACTCTCTACTGGATGCAAGCCGCCATTGCAAAGTTTAGCACGCGACAATCGATCGCTGCAAGAGTAACACCGAACGCGCCAAAGAAACTGTCATTTGATCTTTCATCTAATTTCGTAAAATGAAGGCAGAGGGTGTCCTTAAACACTGGAGGACGAAGAAAACTGTTTCTGCTTTATAATAGAGTAAATGTAACGCCTTAACCTGTCCAAAAAACCGCTATCTCTTTTACAATCCCCTCTCAGAAATGGAAGACATTGAGATTGCCTATTACGCTAGATCACATGACATCTTCTCTCTACTATCACCCTATCAAATTCCTGCACATCGATTTCCGAACACTGCCGAACACTTCCGACAATAAGACGACATATTATTACGCGTCTGCGTGCCTTGCAATTTTGCCAGACTGCAAACAATATTTATCGCAAAAATTACTTTTTAATGGCTAGACGTTTGATATGTTTTTCACCGTGCAAAAGTAAGACAAGATTACAAACAAGTCAATTCTCTCAGAAGCTTTCAAGATTGGATCACATCCATAAATCGGTCATGTAAGATACACTCAACTGACATTTTGCCGTGGCAGTTTTTGTCAATGTGGAAGAAGCAAGAAGCATTCTCGAATACATCAGCTGAAAGACGAATGCTGTGCATCCTGTATGGTAAGTAACGGAATACAATCAAAACGTGGCTTAAATTCAAGAATCTTAAGCGTCAAAATGTATCACGCATTTGTTGTAAACTGCCTGACAGTACTGCTCTGCTTTATACATAGCCATGAGTGCTTTATAAAAAACATATCTTCTGGCATGTAAATGAGCTGCAAGGCAGCTATAGAAGAGAACTTTGAATCTTGATCCAGAGTAGAGTTCGTTCCATGTAAGGTATTAAATTCAAAACAGTCTACTGGATTCCTGATTCCCAGTGGTACTTGGATTTTGGATTCCCAGTGCTACTTGGATTCCAGATTCCCAGTTGTACTTGGATTCCGGATTGTAATCATTAGCGGCATTTCAGATTCCTTGAACTTAATTCCAGATTTCAAAGCTCAGGATTCCAGATTCCACTAGAAAATATTTCCGAGATTTCTAAATCTGCGCAAAAAAACCTTCTTGGATTCCAGAATCTGGATTCCCTCACATGGTAGCTAGCACTTGTTACTCTCGATCTATCGCCCCATATGGGGCAATAGAGTAACAAGTGCTAGCTAGCACCGGCACCAACTTCAAGACATGTACAAATCAATACTCCTTTATGAGTCATCTAGTTCATTCTCTTTTACTTTAAGCTATCTGGAGTGAGACATACTAGATCAGGAATACCTGTTCCTTTGGATCCTTCAGGACGCGAGATGTGTCTTTTGTTTGTTAAATATGGAAGGTGTCGCTTCAAGAGCAAATGTAAAAGATCTCACTGGACACCCCCTTTACCAGGTGCTTAATTTATATATATACTAGTACTAACCAAAAGTTAAGCAGTGCATTGTGCATGGTCTCATGATGACCATTCTGGTGATCAGGTTGGCAAAGGGGTTTTCCTTGATGCATGGTGGGACCTATACTATCAGCATGATGCATGATCGAGCCTAAATTAGCTACATGAGGTGTGATTGGGCATAGCAGTGTGATGAGTGATATACTATTTTCAGAACACATGACGTGTGATTTTCCTTTGAAATTTCCATGATGGTTAATATTATTATGTAATTTGAAACTAGAAGCAGAGACATAAAAAATTAATTTACAGTTATGACACCAACTTCTTGCCCTTTTTTCTCGTTCCTCGACCTGTGATTTCTTCAGATCAAATGATAAAAGGATACTTGTTGACGTAGTTAATATTTTATTTTATTTTTCCGAGATGCATGATAGCTTTAATAAGATAATTGGCGTGATGCATGAAAGGTTCCCCCCGCCCCCCTTTGCCACCCTAGGTGACTTATAGTTTTTGGACACACAACTGCAAAGATAGTTGGTTGGTCAACTAAATTTACTCCATGCCCAACAAAATCTTAATACAATGTGGTCAGACATGATGTCCTGACAAAGTTGGAAACAAAGACTATCATTTTGCAGATTAATAATAATATTAAAAGTGTAGCTTGAAAAAATGAAAATATTGCCAATTAAACCAATGAAATAAAATACACTGTTCCAGTGAAAACATAGAGGTTATTACCTTGCACAGTTTTCATTTAAGATGTGCAGTGCATCCTTGATTCAGTCTGACTGCAAAATTAATTGTTTTGTTTGATTAAATACCCTCACTGGTGCCTTTGCATGCACTTCATGCAAGAAGTCTCATAACTTTAATGAATGTGAACAGTTTTTGAAGAAAATTAATCTCTGAGTGACAAATAGCCAAACATATGCCCTTTCAAGAAAGGGAAATTATTGCAGTTCTGGTCAAAAAAATGTGGAAGCATTAACTGGAAGTGTGGAATTTGTTTGTAGATGAAGAGTATGCCAAACTACCACCCCTGCCGCCGTACCCACCCCCATCAGCTTCTATTGGCAACAATGTATCAGGAAGAGAACTTTTAAGTCATAATATTTACATGAAAGATGAACAGAGACATCACTCACCTGTCTTGGAATCAATCCATAACCAGCATAGATCTACTGCTTTTGCTGAAATGACTTGTGGACAGACCAATGTACAAAATGTGGCTTATGTATACAAGACTTTGCATGTAAACCAAGAGAATGTCTACCAAACACAGGAGGTGTCTCCATTTTCAATGAGCCAACACCATCCTGGAGTTGTTTTGGAATATGCATGTGGTGCAAACAGACAAGTGACAATGGTACCAGTGGTTTCATGCATTGATGGTGTTGATATGACCTTAGAAAAGGAAACTCAAGGTTTGCAGTCAAAAGACAATGATAAAGGGTCTGCTATTGATTCCAAGGCGGTGGCAGAACCAACAGACACACTTATCAATAAAATAGCTGAAGTTCTTTGCAAAAGAAAGTGGAGATTTGATTTTGTGTATAATCCAGAGTCACAAGCAAGAGGTTGGTACACTTCACATAATAAATAACTGAAAATAATTATTTATTTGTCCACCCTGGACCTAGCCTACAAAGCAGGCATATTTTGCAGTGCAAACAATGATTCTAGGGGAGAGGTTTACGGGTCAACTCCTCGCCTCTCCTTTTTTCCCGCCCCCTCCCTTAGTTTTTCAATGATGGTGGCCACAATCAATGTACTTCTGTGTCGCGCTTTCATCATAAAAGCCTACTCTGTGGGCTACATGTACCCTGGACCCTTTCTCTGAGTGTACAGCTGTAGCCTGGGAGGAGGCTTTTAACCCCAGGGTGGGGTGTGTGTGTGTGCCTAAGAAAGGGAAAAGAGTGAAAGCTTGCATCTTTTCACTCACATCTCAGCCTGGATTTTATTCTACCCACCTCATGGGTACCCTGTAGCTCTGATTACTGAACTTTCTGTTATGTAGACTGCTAGCAGTCCACAAGGACTAATGCTAAATTGTTTACAGGACACATCTCTTATGTGTATGATGTTAAATCTTTTGTTTGCAGGAGAAGGCTGGACGTATAAGAGCAGCATTGATCAAAGTTACCAGCAGTATGGAGCTTACTATGATCATGTTAAAAAGAAGCTGGAATTTCAAAACCAACCAAAGAGCAAGGTAAATGTTAGAATTAACTCATATAAATCATCATCATCATCATCATCATCATCATCATCCTTATGTCTGGACTCGTGCCATACACTTCATCTCTTCAGGCAATGGGGGGTTGACTTCTTCGATAACACTGGAAATTAGTGAGGAAACGTCAATTTTGGACTATCAATTTAACTTGATCACCACTACATTCTCAGTAGCTGCTTATTAGTAATGAATATTCAACGTAGAAATGGCTACAAAGCTTTACTACAAGAAAATGGACGAAAACAATCAGGGTCTAGCTTCAGTAGAAACTTTCCGGAGTAAGGCATATAGTTTACCAAATCAAGCGCACCTCGTCAAGTGTCCCAAATCATTTTCACACATTTTTTTATGGGTATAGCTAGGCATTCATCTCTCTTATCCTTACCACCATGTTTTTTCCAGAAGCAGTAATGGCTTTTGCGTATGGCAAAACAATGCATTTTTTTAATATGAAAAAAGTGGAGATACTTAGGGAGTTTCGTTTCGGCGACTAACGACGCCGTTATCATAAAATGGGCAAATGAAAGCGAGTTCAAAAGGAGTTCAGCTTCTGTATATTTACATGAAGGAAGCTAAGCTAGACAAAGATGTTGTTTATTCATCTTTGACATGTCAGGTATGCAGGTGTTCACCAGTGCTGGGTGCTGGTAGTCACACCCTTGGGTACCCGCTGTTCATTTTCCCATACCCCTAGGAAACCAATCCCGGAAGCATTTGAATTACAAGCAAGAATTCAAACGCTTCTGGGGCTGATTCTACATTTGTATGAGTAATTATCCCAGGGATATCCCGTCCGATCTGCCTGCCCTTTTTCTGGTGGATACCCCATGTAATCCGACCCTGGTAAGCATCACCACCCTAATGATCAGTTTGCCTGTTTAAGGCTTATTCTCACACGCTATTTTGTGTTTTTTTGGTTGTTTTTTTTTTTTGTAGGTGGAGAAAAAGAATTTTAAGTTTTTACGAAGAGCCCATTGGAATACCTGCCAAGAACTCAAAGCAAGGCTGGCAAAACTTCCTCCATCGTACTCCCTGAGGGTCGATCTTTCCGGAGTGAACTTCAGCAGGCTGCGGCCATATTTTTATCTTTTAGTTCATCAGGTACATTGATATTTTAGTTTTTTTTTTTCTTTTCAACTTCTGAGAATTTATTTGCCAATAAACACAGAGTCTCCAGCAAAGACATTATGTGAAATAAAATACTAAAGGTTTTTACGGTTATTTTCTGCTCACCTTTTAACATTGTATTTCCCACCATGGTGCAGCCAACATTGTACAAAATGAGAACGTGTGTCAGTGACCATTATCCTCTTCATTATCCTCCTTTGTCTGGTGTAGCATAAAGAAGTCGGGTAATTTTGCCAAGAAAAGAAGTTTATGTACTGAGACTACTGAGAAACTGATCAAGGATAAATTATGAACAGAAGACCATGGTAGGCTAAAGAAACTCGGCTGTCTGGTATTTCGTAGAGACCTTTTGTAATGGTTGGTGAGCATAAGGTGAGGGCAGCATGCAGAATATGATCCTTAGTATTGGACATTACTGGAAACTGAAAACCCCTTTGAGCTTTTGAGAGTTTTTGCCCAAACAATGGAAATTGTACAAGTCTTTAAGTCTTAAATTGGGTGAGGTAGTTATGGGTGAATTAAGTCGTAATCGTCCCTTGCAACCAAGGAAACTAACAAACGAAAATGTAGTGAGATTGAAAATGAGTTTGGCAAGGGTAAAGCCATGTTATCCGTCTAACACTGTTTCTTTGCAGTGCTTCCACGCCCAAGGAACAACAAAAGATCACTGGAAGCCTTTCCCGTTTTCTTGTTTAGTTGCTGAGACGTTAATTGCCTTGTTCGCCAGTGGGAACACATCACCTGCAGAGGCGGAGAAAAGGATGCAGGACTGGTGCGCAAGGCCAGTCAGGGTTAGTAACATACATTACCTTGTTTATATAATCTATAGCTCAGACCAAGAAAACTATATAATGGGAGAGAGAGGTAAATGCCCAGTCTAATCCCTTGGGACATATGAATTTCACCAAAGTTTTTTGGACCAATTAAACGCTTGAAATCAATCGGAAGTTGGTTTCCGGAGAGGTCCGCAAACTTTTTCCCCGCGTTGTCAAGAGAGAAAAATGGGACATTATGCTGTCTTGGTGTGTCGCCATCACAATATTGTGCATTGTTTGCTTTGAGACAGTCGCGCGTGGAATCGATAGCCTTTCAAATAATCGATTTGATTGTTGATTGTACGCACGTCCCAGGACGTGGACTTCCGTTAAATTACAATCTCTAAAAATAACTTAAATGAATTTCACATATCCCGGCCAACGGTCCAAGATTCCTCTCTGTCTTATTATTTTTCTCTCGCTCAAACAGACTATATGTTAACCCCAACAGCTTTTATTTCTTACTGTGAGTCTTTTACCAGTTCATTATATCTCCCTCCCAACACAGGACGACCAGGACAGGTTGCACCACTCAGGGTCCCCCACTGAGTGCCTTTCGTTGAATATTACAGAGCTGTAGATTTGAGGACGAGGACGACTACGAGTACGAGATTTCCTCGAAGTATTGCGTGAGTCAGCGTCATTTTGCGGGAAAACGTGATAGCCGTCGTCATTCTTCAACGGGATTTAGCGAGAATGTCGTAGTGGCGGAAAGAAGTTATCAAATCTAAGAAGTTTTATCTTTTTGCGATCGAGAGAGTACTTAGCCTCCTTCAGTATAAATAACCGTACTAATTTTGTTAGTGAAAAAAAGTAAAATGAAGCTTTTCATGGTGTCGATACCTCTCCGCGATTGCTTCCGTTTTAAAGCTACTATAGCTAAACGAGAAGAAAAGAATCATAATAAGGATTTGAGGTCACACCTGGGAGTCGAAGTCGGGACCTCTTCACTTGCATTCACCACTGTAGAAACGATAACGGAACTAGAGCCGAAGTGTGTCCTGTATTTCTGCGAGTGTTACTGGGGCCGCGCCGGTCAGCGATTGGCCAATTTTTTCACGTCTCTAGCAACAGTCCCAGAAGTCTTTGCGAAGGTGAACTTGGCCCAGTTTCTTCGTTTCTTAAGCGGCGAATAGAACGCTGCGCACTGACCAACTGTGCCAATCCTTGCCCCTGTTGAACAAAACCTTATGTGGCGCAAATATTACGTTTAGTCCTTCCTCATCACCTCTGTGTTCGTTCCTAGGTGCGTCAGTGTGTTTCACACATGTGGAGCATTATTGTGAAGTCTTCAATGTCACTTACCGGAGTTGCACGGGAAGTGCTGAACTGTGAGCAGCAAGTGTTTTCTAAGAAACCGTAAGTTTCTAAGCAACTATTTTTGGCATTTGCTGTGAAAACCTAACAATGCCCATCCTTCTGTGCCTTCAGTGAACTTTCGAACACGGTATGGAAGGTGTATGCCCGAAACGCGGAAACCGGTTATTGCTTTCAATTGTTCACTCTGAAGAGTCGGGCTGAAAAATGCTTAAATTCTGGCTCAACCTTTATGCACCAGCATTGCAGAAAAAATGGGAGGTGCAGCACCTCAGTTGTATTATGGCATAGTTATGACTGGGATTAAAAACAAATGAGAGAAGTGTGACGTCACGTTATCATGGTAGCCAAATTTCTTGATCTTGACAATCTATCTTGACAGAGATGGCCATTTGCATTGTCAAACGATAAAAGAAACGTATGGGCTACTGTTTTGTCCTTGACTGTAATCATGCACATTAAAGTCATACATAACAGTTTTTTTTTTGTTTTGTTTTGCCTTTTTTTTCTGCCATATTTGCAGGACCACGAAATTTTGCTTCCATGGCAACTTAACGTGACTTCTCTTCTCTACTTCGTACGGGGAGGTCGGGATCCGTTTGGCTGGCTTGAATGTGTGTTTTTGTCATTTTCAAAACGCGCAAAAGGAATTAGGGATAGGTGATGTGTTAACGCAACAGCTTCAAAATAATCTTGACGGCGTAACTTCGGTGAATTGTGTCGGTAGATGCAAAGTGTTCGGGGGATCTGTTCAAAAAGTTGCTCAGTCCTATTTTGGATTGATGTTAGTTTCCCGAACCAGGGATGTTACGCAGATAGAGTATTAGCCTGAAGCCTAAGACCGATCTGAAATCGGGTTTCCCTAAGATCAACCGTTTCGCTGAGTTTGGGGCTACAGAAACCGGCCGCTCTGTACGTTACTTTCGTCCTTGGTCCGAATACTATTTATCCACCAGGCTTCCCTGGTTTTCGATATTTCCATTTGTAAGTTTTCTGTGGATTTTCACTGTTGTTCTGATTGAATGGAATCACGATTGGTTTTTCCCCCTGCAGATCCGCCTTGGACTACGCCTATGCTTGTACGTTATCAGGACCTTTAGTAAAGGGAGACACAAGACACTTTGCTCACAAACATACTCCAAGGATCATCCAATCGGTCAAACAAGGAATTCAAGCTGTTAAGAGAAAATCACTTTTACAATCGAAAAGAACAAATTTATCACCTTCTACACGCGATGGAAATGTTAATTTAGGGAAAAACGGCAGGGCGCTTTCTAAAACTCCGGGTGATGGAGCGGAAACAGCGAAGGGCGCAACGGGGAAGCGAAAGAAAAGAAAACGACCTCAGCATCTGTCGCTGCTTGACGAACAAGGAAAAAGAGATTTGTTCAAGCGATGTAGGACAATTCTTGATGACAGCTGAGACAAGTTGAAACTACAACGATGATACTAGTGATCAATAATAAATTAGAACTATATTTTTCGATACAAAAAAGTACCTTACAGCGTGCTTTCCTGAACGCAAGAATGACATCCAATTACCGTGATGTATTTGAGCAGCTCTTCGAGTGAAATAAAATATTGTCTAGGAACTAGCAAAAACTGTATTAACTGAATTTTTAAAGTAAAACTTAAACACTGTTAATTCTTAGTGAGGAGATGTTGATTAAAGGCAGTTTAGTTCACCCTTTTTCTTAAAAAACAAATTACACTTTTTCGAATTGTATGGACGGGAACCTCCAATAACAGAAGCATCTCATAGTAACCCTTTCTTTGTGTTCGTTTGTTTGTTTTTTTTATTTTTGCCTAGTCCTTGTACGGCGTTTTCCCAGTCCCTCTCGGTCAATTCACTTCGGTGACGTGTCCAAGGCGAACATTTTCGCTTGGACCACGTGACCCGAAACGCTTTGACCGCGCGGAATAATGAGGCTTAGGGACTAGGCAAGTGTTTTTTACTGTCAGAACTAATATTCTAATTCAATCAGTATTTAGGTAAGCTTAAAATAAAGAGTTCAACTCTCAATTAAACTGATTGCTGGATCATTACTTGTAAGTGTGAGAAAAGTTTTTCACTTCCCATATCGGCATTACAAAACCCTTCAATGATCATATCCGCTTGATTTTTTGAAAACTTGCATTTCAAAATCTCCTGTTCTAAGCGAGAAAACAGTTCAGAGTTCATCACTCCTTCTTTGCCACAAGCCCATGCAACCTGACTTAGCTGATCGCCTTGAAACTCTGCCAAGTCTCTATCCAGTACTTGTGCCGCTAGTTCCTTTAAAAATCTTTGGCAGGGAATTTCTGACAACGCGTAAGAATACATACAGAGCGATACTTCACTGTTTGTAAGCTGGGGAAATCCTCGCCTGTAGATCTCCTCTGCTACGGCTTTGAAAACCTCTCCCTCATTCATTCCCCTTGTTGCAAATGACCAAACAATCCACAACAGAGAAGTGGTGAAGAGATCTTTGATTCTGTTGTCAACTATCTCCTTGTCAAAAGTCTCAAAAAGTTCCTTGCTTCCTTTTCCTGCGGTCGCGAATGCCCACAGCATCATCACTACCTCTTTCCTCCGAAGTCTTACCGATGAGCGTCGTAATATCTCTTCCTCAGCCTTCTCGAACAAGACATCGGAGAAAACGCCACGCATGGCAAACGTGTACAAGAACTGAACGATCTGTCCATTGTGAAAGTTCTTGAAATCTCTCTGAATAATTTCATACTCTATGTGATCAAAGAACTCGGAGGACCCACGCCCCACCTTGGCGAAAGCCAAGAGTATTCCGTTTATTTGACGTGCCTCGCAGATTGATATCCTGATCACCTCATTCAAAATAGACTCCTGAACTCGCTCAAATATCTTGGAGTCTTTCATTCCTAGGCTCGCACAACCAGTCAAAATCTGGTTGATCTCAGATGTATGAAACAGGGAAAAGTCGTGCGATAAGATTTCTTCTTCACAGATTTGAACCAGAGGGTGCGTTTTATCTCCAGTTCTCCCCAGAGCCCACATAATGTTCGCAAGTCCTTGAGCTTTGCAGGATGAAATGTTGTCAGAAATAAAGTCTAAGATCTCGAAGTACGCACTTTCCTGGCCATTTCTTGCTTTTTCTCTTTCTCTCTGCAGAACTCCTTTTTCAGCCTTGTATTTATGGGCAATCTTTGCAATGCTGTGAAGGACTGTGATTCTGTTCACTAGCGATGTCTGGTCTTTGTTATCCTGGTAAAACTCCAGTTGGTCATTTATGGTATTTTTAGATAATATCTCGTTATTAAGTTCCCTTTCCCTGGCATAGAAAAGTGGTACATTGGGGCTAGAATGACACCAAGCTTTCTGCATCACGAAGCTTGTTGGCAGCAAGATCACTTTCTCCAATAATTGTTCGCATTGGAATAAAGAACCTGCATTGCATGTGCTGTGTTTCCAATTTGCAATTGACTCGCATTGAGCCTGAAAAATCTTTGCAGTTAGTGGAGGTAATGACTTCCTGGCACCATGTTTAAAGGAAACCAAAGCAATTCTCCCACAGCGAGGTGCCAAAAACCTTGACACAGACATCGCGTACACTGTTGTAAAAAAGTATTTCTTGATCCTTAAATGGCTTGCTGATCACAAGTGAAGGTATCCGGCATCTGTTTCTGTTTGAAAGAAGAGAATTCGAAAAATGCCTTGTAAAATTACTTTCTGACAGAAATATCCTAGACGATCATTAATTCCAGACCCTTTAGAGCCATTAACTTGCTCAAGTTGAGACTTGAATGTCTTCTGATCAAAATCTAGAACGCCAAATTTAACTTTGCAAACAAGGGGCTGATTTTTTTGGATTATAGTGGAGACCTGCACAGTGAAGCAGTGTGCGTGGAGCCCCATGGGTAACAAAATACGTTTTTTTATCCATTTAAGGAATTTTGGTAGTCGCGTGAACATACGCCTGTCTGTCTGCCTGCGCCACAGGGTTACCAATGTGAGATGTAATACTTTCCTACGTATGGGAGCCTGTGGAAAAAAGCTGGGGAAGGGGGTGGGGGGGGGGGGGTCTGTGTTTAACAGTAACTTGATGTCGCAGGTACAAATTATAGTAAGTTAACAGCTGTTTAAACAAGGTATCCCCTGACCAGTATTACAAGACCATATCACGTCTGCAACTGCCACGTACGGCGCAAACATAAAAGAGGTGAAAGGTAAAAGTGTTACAGTGTGGCCATTGTTGCTAGTTGTAGAGTCTAAAATCTAAAAACAAGACCCTACACTTGTAAAAGTTCTTTTAAATTGACCACAGTATGGCGATATGCTGTCATTGTTTATTAAAGTGATCTACAACAATCCACGTGAAAGTCCACTGACAGCTTTCAAACCACATCAGCGTGCAAAGAAAGCCGTGTCCAATAGCCCGGGGCTAGTGATTTTTATTCTTAACTTGCCCGGGCAAGTGCTGTTTTGGGGGGAAATTCAAATTACAGAAGAATTGTAATCAACGCTGCTAATCAAAAAGGGTTTTGGGGCTAGTTGAAATGACTTGTGGTCTAGTACATGTTAGCTACAGCGTGCCCGAATGGCAGGCTGTAAAACTGACCTTCTTCGCACCCTGTTTCCCCTGTTGCAGGGCATCCACTGACCCATGTCACATGACCATATTGAAGCTCAGGTTCTCTACCTAACAAGGTCACATAGTTTTTGGAAGTTACCTGCTGACCAGTTGATAACATTTATTTTTTAGCAGTAGCTAAATTGATGTACCAGTTATTGTAGCGTCAAGTTGTATTCTTTTTGTCATGCCTAGCCTGCATAGCAGGTTTTCAAAAGGGAAGGGGAAAGAGAATCTGGCCAGCATGCACAAGGGAGAAGGGAGGGGGGAATGCCTAGGGGGATTCAGGATGCATCCAGCCTTCTTAGTATTTCTGGAAAAATTAAACACCTGTGAAAGTCCGGCTGTCAAATGGCATCCAATCAAGAATGTTTGCAGCAAAATCTCAGCCCAAAGTATGTTTTTGTCTTTCTTACATTTTTTTTGTGTTGTTCATAAACAAAATCAATTCATAGGTCAAAGGTTCTAAAAAGCCCAAATGCATGAGCACGTCCAAATGAGGAAAATTGCAGCAATGTGTGATCATTTAGAAAGTTGAATACAGTAATACAAAATCCATTGTACATGTGTTAAAGCTGAAGAAGGAATTATTTGGTGTCATATGGGCTGGACAACATATGTGGTTGGGTTTAGCATTGAGAATTGTCCAGGCTCTTTGCAAATGGCATGCAATGTTCGTGTCAAAAAAATAAAATCCTTTGTGAACTCCTTGAATTGCCAGAATGCCAACAGTATAGAAAGGCAGAAAAGAAGATTTTCTCTGCAGTTTTGTCCCAAATGTATTTACATTCAGCAGAACTACGTGAACTCGGTGTACTTTGGTGTATATTGGTTGTGACAGTTTTAATGCTTCATCTCAGCCTTTAAACTTTAAACTTTTTATTTTTTACCTTTAGCTTCTAAAGGTTTGTGTGACTGCATCATTTGAAAAATGTTCCCAATTTTTTCCCATTGGGTTTTTGGGGTTTTCATATCAGAACACAGGTGAATAGTTTAACCAGAGTGACTTTATGAAGGATTGTTTGTACATATGTTTTTAAAGGTTAAATTTAACTTCAAGTTAAAATCTTCTAACCTGGGTTGATTCTCAATTTCCTTTGTCTCCTAATTGGCATGAATAATCAGGGCTAGGAGACAAAGGAAATATGAGAATCTACCGAGGTTAAAAAATTTTAACCTGAATACAATTTTGACCTGTAACATATGAACTTGTAGATGTGTATGCAATTTTTACAGTATATCAGACAGCAATAATCCCTCAGTATGATAATTGCTGTAAACTAAGAAATAAGGCAAAACATACTTCTAACTAATTCTATAAAGTTTATGATACTAGCAGAAACACTAGCCTGTGTGCAATTACTGTCGGACATCGGACATTGTCTGATCAAAACTTTCAAAATGTTGGACCAATATTGCCATATGTTCAGGCATGTATAATGTCCCAGAACTTAATAAAAAATTAGAAACTTCTTAACATCTCTGAGTTGATTTCAAAAACATTAAAAAGGTAAAACAGAAAGATAAAAAGAAAAACATTGCATTGCAGTGAAAGAGTATCTAATATGAGGAAACTCGAAATGTCTTCAGTATCCGCCGAAACAAAGCAGCTCTCATTACTGGGCCCTACTTTCCATGGAAATCTAATCATCTTAATACATGTAAAGCATTTTTTTCTGATTTTTAGAATATTTTCAATACAACACATGTACATATCACTGCTTTGGTTTCCATTTGGTTAATTACAAATGAGGTTTGCACTACATGTATTATTAAATCTGAAGAAATGTTCTAAACCAACATTTCAGTTCTGTGAATTATGCCAGCTTCCACTTGAATAAAAGTTACATCAAAGCAAAATTGTATGAACTTGCCAGATGGTACATTCTACCAGTCTATTTAGACTATTTATTTTGTTTTTCAAAGTTTGAGATTTATGCAAAATTGTGTCTGGAATCAATCAATCAGAGGGCAATTACCGAGAAGTATTGCTTAGGTTTTCTTGCCATGGACTATCAAGTGATTTGAGGCAAACCATAACAGTTACTTGAGTTGGCGACACCCTCGAATAAGCGTTGTATTTATGATCAAAATCAAAAGACATCAATTTTGTCACTTTGATACAGGAAATAACAATATTGCATTTAAAGCTGCCCTCGAATAAGCACCAAATTTGAGGTGTGAAAATTTTTAAAAGTGCCACAGCACTTGTTCAAGTAAATACGGTACACTAATAATGACCAACCAATTTTCTAATATGTCCTATCCAAATGAAGGTTTGAAAGGGCATACATCCTTTCAAGTAAGGAAATTAACTCAGGCACTGCTTGAGCATAAGTTATGATTGGAATAATTTATCAGATCTTTTCAGTCAACTGTCAAGTGTGAAGAGGCAGACATTTATGGGTTGAATTTAAGCTGTCCGTAAAATAACATTTTTCTATTTTTTTCTGGAAGACTGTAATAATTATTTAATTTCGATACACTGTAGTGTATTACAGAGATAAGTGCTTTGCTATTGAAAGTAAACTGCAGATTAAATGTGATTGTCTGGTTTTATAAGAGTTCTGGCATCTTTTTATATTTGGACAGTATAAAATGCAGACTGTGGACTGCTGACTGAAGACTGTTGATTCTAGGGTTAGAAAACAATGGGACTATTGTTGTCATGTTCTCACTTGCAAGGTGAAAACAATAGCCTGCACTCTGCATTTTACATTGACAGATCTCTTTTAATATAGTAAGGACTTGTTGGGTTTTGAACTCGGACTCGTTGATTCTGGACTGGGACTGATAATTTTTCAGGATATGAGTCCAACCATTACAGAAATGCGCCCATTCAAAAACGTCGATCATGAAAATGCAAATAAGTGAAAAATGACGTTAATTTAGTGTCAATCAAGAAAATCCCCTGGGTATATCCCTTTCCTGGTTATTGTTCCTGCTCAGACAGCCGCAACAATTGCCTATTCTTCGATGAAGAATAGAACTTCACGCGACTAACAATAGCTCAGTCTGTTTAAAAACTGTCTAAATTAATTACTCCGAATTAGCATGTGACTTTTTGCTGTTTGAAAAATCCTCAATGATTGTTGCTGATTTTGCCGTAAATAATTCAATGCACTGACTTAAAACAAATTTTTACCTTTTACAAACTTCATGGTTTGAATCGATCGATGAAATATGAGCGCAACCGATGCATTAATAGTTTGTTTACATTTTGTCGCGGGTTTTGGATAATATTATAAACCTTAAAATTTACGGGCAAATTCGACGAAAAAGCACTCTCACTTACATTCTTCATTTAAGATATTGATTTTAGCACAGTATAAGGCAAAATTAAGAGCGATACTTTCTCTAAGAACGCTATAACTACATATTTAATGGCCAAACCTAAACAGCGATCTAATCCGTCTCTTGAAAACAACTACAATACCACTTCTGATAATAATATTTATAAACGCTGCAAACATTTTTATTCAATCTTGTCGAGTGATTTTCGTGAAGATGAGTTTTTAAGTGAAGAATACTTTGGTTTCTGATTGGCTTTAACTGTTTTGCCATCGAAACAATTCGCACGAGACTACTGAATTCGCGAGGGTTTTATGTTAGTGCACAAGGAAGAAAAGTGCTTCTTTTTGCATATTAAACATTTTCTTCTTTGTAGCAATGACAAAGACATTCCAACACTTAAAACCATGGCAACCTATTTCTATTGTTTCTGCATTGTCTCTTGAAAGTGTGAGAATAGTTAACCGCTATGAAGTTCATAAGAGACCGAAAATGACAGTAGTCTTTGAAACCTCGTTTTTGCTCGCAAAGCCTAATGGGTACCCCACTTTTCACGGGCGAGGTTTCTCAATGGGCACGTTTCTGTATTGGACTCACTAATGGGCTACTGCATTTTAGTAAAATCCAACTAGTGGTCTATTATCAGTGCTGCATTCTGATTGGTTGAGCTACTACTAGGCCTCTGAGTCAATAGCCCATTCACCCTTCAGCCTCATGGGCTATTGACTCAGAGCCAACTCGGGCTCGAGGAATAACTGTTCATAATATCCCCATCTGCCCTGGTTGAAGAATGCAATTCTCCAGGGGTAAGTTTTAAAAACTGAGGATTTCTTTAGGGGTAGAGTAAAAAACTATGGAATTCTTTGGGGGTGAAGCTTTAATTTTCACAAAATTCTTCAGGGTACACCCATATTCTTCAGGAGTAAACAGGAATGTTCTGGAAGTCTTCAGGAGTGAATGCAATTTTAGCCAATCTTCAGGGATAAGAAGAAAAAGTAAGTCCTCAGCAGGGGGGGAGGTGGGGGGGGTAAGGATAAAAGAATATTAAATTAATGCATGCGCAATGGCCCAAACGGCAAATAATATTGTAACAAAATCACCGAACTATAAAAATAAAATAGTTTAAACACCGAGTGGACGTTAGGTTGTAACTCTTTACATTGGAAGTTTTTGATTGATTTGTGGAATGTCTTTTCAATTTTAATTTAACGACTTTACAATAATCGTAACAATTTCATTTTATCTACTGCTTTTGTCGCTTTTGTATACATCTCTGGCTTATTCTAAGAAAGGCAAAAAAATGTAAAATTGTACTTACTTCACAACTTAAGCTTAAGAATTCTTAACGGTATACAGGAGTATCCCTATATTCTATCAGGGTTCCGCTGCATTTAAAAATCTGAACTTTCAGCAAAGGGTTAGCAGTATACACACAGATTGCATAACTTGAGCTTATAAAACGCAGCGTTTTTATTTCTAAAGGATTAAATCGCCTAAAAATGCTAAGTTGCCACTTTGAAGACACACTTTTTGTCGTATATGCATCAGCTACATACCTGTTTAGACGTCGATAAGTTCAGATGTTTTCCAGAGTACATTTTCTCTTGCTAATACATATCGACATTCACCGAAATGACCGCCATTTTGAACTTTCATTCCCAGGTTCCTCAAAAAATGTCTACGGTCCTTCCCAGTCCCTAAAGCGGAAATAGCGTAACGCGCGAATGACGTCAGAGTGACTAATTTGCAATTTTTGTCTGAGTTTTGCCATTTTTCTCATTTTTAATGACAAAAGACAGACAAACATGACATTTTTTAAAATGACAAAAGTCAGACAAAAGTGGGGAATTCGCTAATGTTAAAAACATTAAAAAGCCATAGTCGAAATTTGGTTCGATAAGAGCTCTATACAGCAGTATACCTGTATCTACACAGATATACGGCCTAAGTGCACCTATACCAGAGGAAATAGTTCTTGCAATCTCTTTGACATGTTTGGACCATGAAAAATATTGAAAACATTACAGTCAAAAAGACTACAGCGACTGATCAAACAACGTGAAATAGAGTTTAGTTAAGATATTTCGACTGGTCAATACCAGTCTTCATCATCAGGTTTATTGAGATATTTATTGAGATATTTATTGTGATTTCTGTAAATTCGTGATATCTTCTTCTTAGGTTTACTAGAGTTCAGTTCAGTTGCATGAGATTCCTGTTGATTGGATTGTCTAAGAACTATTCTATTGCCCGGCCCCACCGATTTTAAGGGGTTTTACGTACTAAGAGGGAAAAATGTTAGCAGGAGCCAAAGATGTTAGAGAGAACTCTATGAACTTTGAATTTTAACTCATTTGAATGCGGAGCAGTCTGTGAACAATTAGTTTTAGGGTTCGGCCAGTGAATTCACAGACGAATCATAATCAATCTTTCATTTGCCTGCATAATTTTATTTTATGACATTATTGCTTACTACATTATTTCTAGTTTTATCGATCTACAAAACAGCTCTGTTCTGTCACAAGGGATTACTTTAATCAGTTTAATTCTTATGATGGCCTCTTTCGGGGTATTTATAACTGGAATGCAGGCTGATTTGTCGCCAAAAGGATTAGAGATGAGCTCCAAACCACCACTGGGTAGTGGACTGGGTATCCGTTGTGCAGCGAAACTTTGGGTTGTAGCTATCATACCAACCAAAATTATCTTCACTTCCCACAGCACCAATCCTTGCCGCTTTAAACTGACAGTTAGTGTTGGCTGAACTGTCAGTGTGCAGGCCTTCATGAAGGTACTGCCAGAAAGGCACCGTCAAATTCTTGCCCAAGTATCCCCGGGTGTTGATGTATTCCACTCTCTTGCACTGGCCTCCCCCAATATAATCGACGACGTTGAAGTCCTTGAAATTTCCACGCAGGTAGTCTCTGAAATCGATGCCGTGGGTCGGATAGCTGCATGTTGCTCGCCAGTGGGTGGAGTGAGCCTGCAGTGATCTCATTCGGGCCAAACTCAGTCGGTACTGATTCCAGTTTTGGGCGGTCTCATTCACTGGCGCGTTTATCTTGAAGGGAATGCTGTGGAATTTTGAAAGACCTCGATTTCGAGAGGTCCATGACATCACCAGAGTCCATGCGGTGCCTGGCTCAGACTTCAGGTCACAGTAAACTGCGTAACTGTTTTCATTGGAATCGTAAAGCTTGTAGATGCCATTTTTAGAACTTCTTCGACGTAGATAATCAACGCAAGTGGTGGGCCGGAATTTAGCTGGCTTTTCCTTACTTTCCTAGAACAAACAAATAAAAAGTTACACAAAAAAAAACTTAAAAGAAAAATAATGTACTTAGAAGAATGAGGCAGGGGTGCGATAACTTTGTTAGGAATCCTTTTGGGAAACTGATTACCTCGTCATTGTTCGCGTGTATATAAAAAGTTAAAATTAATGTTGAAAGATGATACAAGAATTAATATTAACATACCTTGCAATTCATTGTAATATGTATATTGACAACGTTTTTACCACCTTTCTGCTGTCTAGCATCAACACTGGCCGCTACTAGTGTCTGAAAGAATAGAACAAGAATCTTTCAGTCGTTCAAAGCACTGCATATAAGAGTTTCATATACTTTTTGTTATATTTTGGTCACTGATACTTAGGCGGTTAAATTAATATTGTCACGCATTTAACGATGATATTATTTGAGAATGTCGCTTTTAATTTCAGTCTATACTTGTGTCCACCCTTTTCTGATACGACTGCAGGATAGCCGGTTACATGTGATATTCTCTTAGACTTGATGACTTTCCTAGCACGCGCGAAAACTAAATGTTTTACAACTCTTAGTGACATGACAAGGCCGGCGCCTTTTTTCCTCATTCTCAAGTCATACAATTTTTTTTGTCGGGAAGTACTTACTCCAAGCAAATGCACACCAACGCTAAAAATCAAGACGCTCTTAAATGCCATCGCCGTTTCTCCGCCTGAAATCCGCTTTAACGTGTGGTGTTAGAACTGTTACCGAACTCAATGCTTACTAGCCGATGATGAATTGAAAAAGCAACTAAAGCATTTGTTGCTAATATGCAACTAGTAACAAAAGTGATGTGAATAAATATAAAACATGAAAACCCTTCCCCATAACTCGTTAGCTACGGAAGATTGAACTTTAAGGGTTGCTATTGTAGCCGGAGGAAGCCGGAGGGCTTTACTCGCTTCGCAGTCATGAGATGTTATGGGTTATTCCTTTAGAAGCCAAATTGCTTTTATCTGCCGGGTAATGTTTTTAAAAGGCCTTTTGGCCAAAGTAACTTGAAGATTAAAAAAGTTGCGGATCGCTTGATACTGTATCAGTTTATAAATTAAGTGAAAAAAAGGTAGATAACTATGTGTTCATTTTTTTTTACCCAATAATACAACTTGTATCAACAATTATGTAAATTCGCCTTGATTAAGTTTAGTTGATAGCAAGTTGACAAGTTGATAGCCTTCAGAGTTTTTAATTAATTGGTTTAAATAATAGTTTTGATATTTTAATAAATATTGTAAATACTGTAAAGCGCTGTTGAATTCCTAGAAACAGCGTTATATAAGCTTGTATTATTATTATCGTTGTTATTACTAGTAATAGTTGACACTACAGCTGCCCCCGCTCTGTATATTGTCGGTCAATAGCATTGTTGCTCGTTTTGTAGCTCTTTGAAATATATACTTAAAAAAGCACTTTATTTGAGTGTCAGTGTATTTAGCACGAAAGTACTAATTGGAGACACTATATTTTACGTCTCCAACTGGAGACGGGACCGCCATTTTACGTGGTCATCCGAGCCATTCCGGTTAAAGCGAGAGAAAGAGTGTCTGGCAATAGACTGCGAGTAGTGTCTCTTTTTCTTCAGATTTAGTGAGAGCAATGCAGGCCCGTGGAAGCGGCGAAGCCGCGAGACGCGCGAAACGAGGGCGCCATCAGTCACGCACGTGGCCATTTGCGTGTCTCGCGTTTTGCTCGACGGACTACAGAAAAAAGAGAGACTGCTCGTAGTCTAGTCTGGCAAGGCTTCCAATGAAAGATTTGTGAACTCGTGTCTGGCAAACTCTCCAAGTTTTTGTATATACACAGTTATACGCACCTTATAACTTCTTCTGCGCTTAACGAGTGTCTTTAAATTTTTGGTCCATAACTTTCACTGAAACAACTGCTCCACAGAATGTCACTGATAACACGTAACGCAAAAGAGTGTCGAAGAATGACTGCACAATAAATGTCATAAAATCTACCTAAGCGGTACCCTGGGTGCCAGAGACTTTTCTAGCGCGGTTTGTGTCGGCCTTCGGCCAACACCGAAAATTCCCACCGCACGCGAGAAAAACCTCTGGTACCCAGGGTACCTAAGCGGTCCCTTGGGGATGTTCTGTCCTTACGTCATCCTAACCATTTCGTACTTGCGGGCACAAACAATAGAAACGTCATCATTTCCTACCGATTCCTCGCGGCCCCTGTTCAAGCAAATCGAGATTTTTTCTATATTGACTGGATGACTGTATATTTCAACTGTAAGTACTTTCCTTAATATACGCGCGAGTTACTAGAGTGCCTCCTTGGGATTTCGCCATGTGGGCGAAATCCCTGCGGGGGCAATTATTGTTATTATTATTATTATTATTATTATTATTATTATTATTATTATTATTATTATTATTATTTTTATTTTTTTTATCAACTTTTTGATGCTTTTTATAATTGTTATTAGTAGTCTTTAGATAGTCATTTTACAACAATTCTCTTTCGTAGACAAGAAAAATGTACATAGGGTATATATTTTAATATTTCATATTCTTGAATCTGTAAATAGTCTATTTTTTAAAATCTATGAATAAAGTTTTGTTTTATTATTTTTTTATTATTATTATTATTATTATTATTATTATTATTATTAATATTAATACAAAATACCCGCCAAAATAACTAGTAATAGTTGACACTACAGCTGCCCCCGTTCTGTATATTGTCGGTCAATAGTATTCTTGCTGGTTGCGTAGCACTTTGAAATATACCGATTCATAATGAAGAATTTCACACATATTCCATACAATAGGTGTGATAAATACAGGAAACGCAAGGTTGCATGCACGGCAGTTTCAGCTCGATTTACACAACTTTGATCAAAACATTCTCAGTTTCGAGAATAGTTTATTCTAAACCATAAGAAAAGATTTAATTAGAAGTTGAATTTTTCGCTATTTCTCTTTCACTTTTTACATTCAGTTCATTTTATTTGCCGGAAAGTAAGCCTTAAAAATTAAAAGGATGTTTGATCGACTCACACTCGCGCATAGTTATAAAGGAAGGACATCTGTGAGCAGGGAATAAGTCAGCACAGAATATGATTGTCGGTGCTTTTCTGTAATTGTCCATCAATCTGCTAGTGATAAGCTAGCCGTTGTTCACTCGTCTTGCTTGTTTGGGGCTGAGTCTTATTCCGGTCATAGTTATTAGAGGAGACTGGTTATGAAAAGCGGCAAACGTCAATGATAAAAACAACAGTGCTGCAGTTTATGTTCAAAGCACCGTGAAAGTGCACAATCCTTTGTTTTCTGTTGGCAAATTGTTACGGAATAAATTAATGCAACGTTTTTATTGGTCAATACAATCAAAATGATAGGAATTCTTTTGAACGTTGTGCACCTTCAGGTCCACAAAAACATATAACAAAGGAGTCTGACGGGTTTCATAACCATTCCACTCAATTAACTATGTTCCGGTCAAAGAGAGAGAAAGAGCATGAAAGAGTGTCTGGCAAGGTTTCCAATATAAATCAAAGATTTGTGAATTCCTGTCTGGCAAACTCTCCAAGTGTTTATATATAAACAGTTAAAACGCACCTTATAACCTCATCTGCGCTTAACCAGTGTCTTTTGGTCCATAACTTTCAAAACAACTGCTCCTCAGAATGTCACTGCGTAACACAAAAGAGTATCGAAGGATGACTGCACAATAAATGTCACAAAATCTACCTGAGCGGTCCCTTCGGGATTTTCTGTCTTTACGTCATCCTAACCATTTCGTACTTGCGGGCACAAACAATAGAAACGTCATCATTACCTACCGATTCCTCGCGGCCCCTGTTCGAGCAAATCGAGATTTTTTTAGTATACTGACTGTATATTTGAACTGTAAGTACTGTCCTTAATATACGCGCGAGTTACTAGGGTGCCTCCTCTGGATTTCGCCTCGGGGCAAAATCCCTGCGGGGGCAATAATTTGTTGTTGATCAACAACGTCAAAATATATCAACGCAAAAATCATCGTGTGGTAGTTGTTAATTGTAAGAGACACTCTAAAAATCTTCCGACTATCTATTACCTCATTACTTACGTACATTATTCAGCAGTAATTTCAAATATCCTTTACTTCTTGATTTGTAATATTAGAGTTGTTTTGATACTGCTTTAGTCTGTTGCTACTTTTAAATAACAGCTAATAGTAATGTTGATTTTTCAACCTTTTCCTTTTTTAACTTTTATACGTTGCAGTTAATTTTTTAGGTAATGTATGCTAATGCTGCTAATGAATTTGCCATCAAAGGAAAAGCAAAAAATAACTGAAATAAAAAATTACCTGCAAATTATATCTTCACCCCTTCACCCTGTTAGATTAATTCACTACTGTTATCGAGTGACTTTTTCTGTAACTTTTTACCACGAAAATGGTATTATTATTTGAAAAGTGATAACGATGGCAATAAATGATATGCCCTAACCGGGAGAAAATGTGCGTTGCTGAAAGGTGATTAAGCAGTTCTCATCTTTCATTAATACTGAAAAGTAAATCTTGCGTTGTTGCTGACCCCCCCCGGGGCTGAAAGGTGATCAAGCAGCTATCAAATTACTTCTTAAACAAGAAACTCTACCCTCACTACCATCCCCTCTTGCATGGTCAATGAACTGCATGGCAGCATAAATATGAAGCGGGTACTTCCTGATGGTCAGAATTTTTTCATTGCAAAATAGACGTGTGTCCTGATCTTTTTCCTGATATCCACAGGGGAATTCACTGAGCGAGAATTAACGCAAAAGTTGTGTTTTATTCTATGTTTTGATGTTCTTTACCAAAACGCTGTCCATTTTAAAATCATCTGCTACATTTTTGCGATAAAACTTCTTATTTCTAAACAGGCTTTCACTGCCGCTCTTCTATCGCGGCATTTTTTTTACTGATTTCATTCTTGTGAGTCACTACTGGATTCTTCCGTTTTAATCATCCTTTAATCAGTGCTTGTTATAGATCAATTTTAAGGGGGTAAATTTCCATTTTGGAGCCAGCAGATGTAAAGCTGTTGCATCTCCGAAAATTCTAGATATGTGCTCCAAACCACCACTGGGTGGTGGATTGGGTACCCTGTGTGCAGCGAAACAAATGTCAGTAACTCACTATCTTAGTATAAACGGTTGTCCTATCACTAACCGTAAAGGGACAGACCTTGGAAAGAGTCAGGACTTTCAAACTGTAAGGTACCTGGCTCAACGAAACCCTTTAATGGACTGCCCAGTAGTTTCATCATGTCACAAAGTTCTTTCAATTCTACGTGCCCTGCCCCCACCACACAAACATCTGTGAACTTCCTCAATTTTGCGGAGCTTTATCTTTCCGCCTGTGTTGTCGGATTTTTAGCCAACTGGTCCCAGTCAAAAGCTGCCACAGACATTAAACATACAAACGATGGACCAAAATGTAAACAAGGGCATGAATAAAGTTCAGTCTTCTCAAACAAGGGCATTTTAACTTGATAAACCGAAGACAGAAAGAGCGTCTATAAATTCAAGTATAAACGAAACATCACCCAATTTACTTTCCTACTTAATTTCCTTGACTCTCTCCCACCAGTTCGCTAACGAAGCGCTCGCGCTTTGCATGTCAACTTTTAATAAATTAATCCCAAATAAATGGCATCCCTTACCTGCGGTATGTTGTCGTAAAATATGATTTTCAAGCATTTTGTATTTGCCATTTACTCTGGACTGCCTCTTAAACTAAGTAATTCTTTCGTCTCTCAAGATTGAAAAATGGAGCCCCTCTGTTTTGTACAATGAAATCTGTTCGACTTTCAGTTTAACCTACAAATTGCAAATGCGGCTACAAAAAGATTGAGTGTACCCCTATGCATGGTCAAACCTCAGTTTTGCTCTATTTTTGTCTATAGAAACCGGGCCTTGTTAAATTTATAGTTCATTTGCCTTTCTATTGTTCAATTTCTATACAATAATTGGACCCTTGTTTGGTCTTCACCTTTTAAAAACTACTAGCAGTGCCATACGCATGCCGTTTTTTTACAAAGAGAACATAGGGGGCGTGATTGAGAGGGGGGGAGGGGCAAGCCCCCATTGAGGAATCCAGAACCCCTTGAGTTCTTCCCTGGGTGCGCCCCTGTTATTGTTGATCGCTGTTTGTTTAGATGAAAGCATGTACTTTCGGGATCCTAAAAAGTTATTTGGATGAAGGGGTCAGTATTCCTTTGCTTCTGCTTCAAACTGTTTCTACCATCAATCCTTCAGCGTAAGGATCATGTTTGTTGCATTGTTTCATCAACAACTTTAATTTTGGAGATCTAAATGTTAGTAAGAGAGGATTGTAGGAACTTGAAATTTATTTCAATGAGAGACAGTCAGTGAACTATTACTTACGTTTACGTATTACGTTTTGGATAGTTTTAAATATAATGCACAAGTAAATTCACAAACGATATATAGGTGATAATCAATCTTTTATTTTTAAGCTGCCTGCATTATTACACGACTTTTTGTTTTTTCAATCTACGAAACAGCCTCTGTTCTGTTACAAATTGAACGGTATTCAAGTTACTCTAGTGCTTATAATGATCTCTCATAAAGGCTGTAGTCAGCAATGCAGGCTTTGCGTCTGCGGGAAGATCAAAGATGAGCTCCGAACCACCACTGGGTAGTGGATTGGCCTCCCTGTGTGCAGCGGAATTTGGTGCTGATGCCGTCCCCGTACCAGCCAAAGTTGTCTTCACTTGAGACTGCGCCAGACGTTGCCGCCGTAAATTGGCAGTGACCCAGTGAGCTATCAGTATGCAGAGTCCATGTATTTAGCTTCTGCCAGAAAGGCGCAGTCAGATGCGTCCCCACGTGTCCGCGGATGTTGATGAAATCCACTTTCTTGCACGTGCCTCCACCAACATAATCAAAGATGTTGAAGTCCTGGAAGTTTCCGCGGAGGTAGTCTTTGAAATCGATGCCGTGAGTCGGGTAGCTGCATGTTGCTCGCCAGTGGGTGGAGTGAGCCTGCAGGGATCTCATTCGCGTCAGACTTAAGCGGTAGATATTCCAGTTGTGGGCGTTCTCGTTCACTGGGGAGTTATACTTGAAGGGAATGGTGAAAAATGCTGGGAGCCTTCGATGACAGGTACTCCATGATATCACCAGAGTCCATGCAGTTCCTGGCTCGGACTTCAGGTCACAGTAAGCTGGGTAACTCTTTCCAGTCTTATCGTAAAGTTTGTAGATGCCATCCTTGGAACTTCCTCGCCGCAGATAATCAATGCAGGCAGCAGGCCGAAAATTATCTTGCTCAACTTTACTTTCCTAGAAGACAAAAAAGGCAAAGAAATTTAGACCATCTCTGCTGAAAATTACTATTTGGTATAGCGCTCAAGCAGGAACGATTGAAAAAGAACAAAACGCAATAAAAAATTCACCTTGCAGCCCATTGTAATATGTATATTGACTTCTTTTTTGCCATCTTTCTGTAGTCCAGTATGCAAACTGAAAGCAACAGGCGTCTAAAAAATGGAAGAACTGTTTGTTGGTCAACACAAATAAAGGAGTGTCTAAAAGACTAAACAGAGTGTCATAATACATGTCTGATTAATTCAGTATCGCCCAAATAAAAATAATTTTAAAAGTGCACTACAGTTCAATAAAGTATAAATATTACATCTTCCTCAGTTTAGTTCTTGTGTCCACCTTTCGGAAATTAAATTAGTACACGTTACTTTCTCCCGAACCTAATAATTTGCCAAAATTTAAAGTAAGAGTGCGCGCAAAAAATAAAGAGTTTTCTCCATTCAAAATCATATATAGCTAGCTCATCATGTAACTGGGCAGACACTCTTTAGCTATCGCGCAACTTAACACCGTAAAAATGTTTTGTGGGTAGTACACTTTGATCACTTACTCCCGCAAGTAAATAGATGCCAATACTGAAAGCAACGATAATCTTAAATGCCATTGCTGTTTTCCTTCCTGAAACCCGCTTTAACCGGTGTGAACTGAATTCCGATCCTGCACTGAACTGAACTCAGAAACTGACTTTTCGCTGGCCGATAGTGTACTGAACGTAAGCCGGGTGAACAAGCAACCGAAATGTGTCTCACAAGTACTTCAGCTACATACGTGTAGATATGAAGCGTGAATAAATAAAAACATGAAAACATCTTTCCATAACAAGTAAGTTACGGTAGACTGAACAGAACAAAAGAGTTGCCTGTCAGCTATTGAAAAATCGATGCCAGGCGCAAACAGACTTTAAACGCAATTAAAATTATAAAGCTAAGATATCCAGGGATGCCTCTTTGATGTCTTTGATCACTTACTCCAAGCATTGAAATGAAGGCATGGCAACACTGAATATCAAGATGCTCTTAAATGCCATCGTCGTATTTCCTCTGGAATCCGCTTTAAACCAATAGTGTGCTGAAAAAGCATCCAGAATGTGTTGAAAATAATTCAGCCACCTGAAAACGAGTGGCGTGAATAAATCTAAAACATCATGAAAACATATTCCTATAGCACGCAAGTGATGGAAGTCGATTGAACCGAACAAAGGGCAGTCAGCTGTAGGGCTTCTTCTTTGATTAGGAGGTCATGTTTGTGATTCGTATTCACAAGTGTAGCGGCCTGAAGGCTCTTTTCTTTGGCAGAAGTTGTCGAAAGACCCTGTGGGCATGATAGGGACAGACTAAAAAATGTGAAAGAGTTAGCTAAAAAGGTTCATAAATTACCGGTACAAAAGAGATAGAAAGGTGGATAACTATGTCTTAATTGTTCACCTGTTAATACTATTTGATACATCTGCAGTGATTTATCTGTAAGTGTGCAAATCTGGCTTGATGTGAGTGTGAAAAAGTGGTCGTAATCTGGCCACAGTAATATATATATATATATATATATCTATATGTACATATATATCTAGCCGGATTTTTTAAAACGTTAAAGCCCAATGGACCTTTCACTGGACGAAAAAACGGATTTACTAATGTTTGCGAAAGGTGCAAATATGTGGTAAATTTGGAGCTCCAAATTTGCATTACATTTGCGCTGTCGGCTAAAGTGTGGGCAAATACATATACTGTATTTGCTAGATACGTATTGATACGCAAAAGTGAAGTAAATGTAATGGTTTGATACAAATTTGATACATATTTGCAGCATGGGCAAATCTTCAACATTTCTACCAGTTTACTCAAATTTACATCCTTGGCAAAAATGACAGTTTTCACTTTACTTCAAATGCAGGCAAAAATATTGCAAAACCACTAATTTGCAGTGGTATTTGCTCTTGTTTTTCCAGGATACCAAAAGAACACTTTTGCATGTGGTTTACTCGTATTTGCCTTAGGAGCAAAAACAATAAAGTTTTAGACATTTGGCTGTATCATAAATTTGCACATTTGCATCATAATTATCCATATTTGCAAGGGGAGCAAATATAGTGAGCTGCATAACATTTTCTGACAGTCAAAGGTGATGTGCATGTGACATTTCCTATATGTTTGATCCGTTTTGTGACTAAAGTAAATTTCCAATCTCAACTGTAACATTACATTGTTACAATAAAATTTTGTACACGCTGTGAGACTCCGCCCAGAGGTCCAACCCCTTACATGCATCTTTCCTGTTAAGTGTTTTATGTGCACTGTCATTTTAATATGAAGGAATCAGAAACCAGTTAATTTTTTTTGACAATTTTACATTCACAAATTTCTTCTGTTAGTCTTTTTACAGAACGAAATGACAGATAGTCTACCCTGTCATATACTTTAACTCAGGAAATCCCTATCCTTTCATACCTGAAGCATGAAAAAGGTGTCCCTTTCTGACAGCGCCCCTGGCATAAACCTTTCCCGGGCTACTAATTTAAAGCAAATACACTAATTCAAATCCACTCGTTATTAAGGTCCAGTAGTCAGATCATTGATGCACTGTATTTCCTACAGTCAGGGCCATAGCCAGTATGAGGCAAACCGAGGCACTTGCCTCTGTCATTTAAGGTTTGATACTGGCAGTGTTTTGTTTCAACGTAGTCATCATAAAGACCCTGAATAGCTAATACATATACTGCAGGGTTCTTTCTACATTTCCGACAATATTTATACTGATTCTAGAATATTAGGGGCATATATCATACGGGACTTATTTGTTGTAGTTTTGACTGACCACCTAGAGATGACTACATCTCGATGGTGGGCTTCCTAAAAATGATCACATTTTGAAAACTCAACAGCCAATACTACAACAAAATATGGTGAAACTGCTCACAATTTTATTTGAACATTAACTCAGCTGACAAATTTATGAAAGGCTAATTTTTCTTACTCTATTGTTTGCAACCCCGAGTTTACGTTTCACTGATTTTAATGTTGATTTTGAGTTTTACTGTTCATTAAGTACTACCTATTCAATCCAAAAAAGTCATAGCATTTCGGCTGGCTAAAATTCACCTGAAGCCTGGTTATTTGAACTTGGGATACAAGGAGGATCTACAGGAGCTACCGGTCGAATTGTCAAATCCTACCCGACAAAGCCCCCCGCCCCATAAACAATGAACAGACCTTTATTGGGTTATAGGATCACAGGAGCTCTGAGTTAGCCTTAGATCATGAAAAGTATAGAGCTATAAAGAAAAAACTAAGGTGGTGAAACAAATTAACATGCAGCCTTTAAACTTCTGGACTGGGTTGCTCAAAGATGGGTTAAGATAACACAAGGTTGGGTCCAGTGGTCAGATCATTTACTGTATTTTTTGTACATCATACTAAAAAATCAAATTTGGTCCGAAATAAAAAGTTTTGTGGATTTCAAACTCAGTGTTGTGATTATTCACTTGTACATAATTTCCTCATGGCCATTTAACCAACAAACTTAATTCAATTTAAAACCAACAATTTTAGTTTAACCGGTATTTGTTGTAGTTTTGACTGCCCACCTAGAGATGACCACATCTCGATGGCCGGCTTCCTAAAAATGACCACATTTTGAAAACCCAACAGCCAATACTACAACAAAATATGGTGAAACTGCTCACAATTTTATTTGAACATTAACTCAGCTGACAAATTTATGAAAGGCTAACTTTTCTCACTTTGTTGTTTGCAACCCTGAGTTTGAGTTCCACTGATTTTAATGTTGATTTTGAGTTTTACTGTTCATTAAGCACTACCTATTCAATCCAAAAAGTCATAGCATTTTTGCTGGCTAGAATTCACCTGAAGCCTGGTTATTTGCTTGGGATACAAGGAGGATCTACAGGAGCTACCGGTCAAATGGTCAAATCCTACCTGACAGCCCCCTGCACAATAAACAATGCACAGATCTTTATTGGATTACAGGAGCTCTGATTTGGCATTGGATCATGAAAAGTCTAGAGCTATAAAGAAAAAAAAAACTAAGGCAGTGAAACAAATTAACATGCAGCATTTATCCTTCTGGACTGGGTTTGCTCAAAGATGGGTTAAGATAACACAAGGTTAGGTCCAGTAGTCAGATCATTTACTGTATTTTTTGTACATCATACTAAAAAATCAAATTTGGTCGAAATAAAAAGTTTTGTGGATTTCAAACTCAGTGTTGTGATTATTCACTTGTACATAATTTCCTCATGGCCATTTAACCAACAAACTTAATTCAATTTAAAACCAACAATTTTAGTTTAACCGGTATTTGTTGTAGTTTTGACTGCCCACCTAGAGATGACCACATCTCGATGGCGGACTTCCTAAAAATGACCACATTTTGAAAACCCAACAGCCAATACTACAACAAAATATGGTGAAACTGCTCACAATTTTATTTGAACATTAACTCAGCTGACAAATTTATGAAAGGCTAATTTTTCTCACTTTGTTGTTTGCAACCCTGAGTTTGAGTCTCACTGTTCATTAAGTACTACCTATTCAATCCAAAAAAAAAGCATAGCATTTTTGCTGGCTAAAATTCACCTGAATCCTGGTTATTTGATCTTGGGATACAAGGAGCGGGGTTGTGGCTTCCCCAAAAAATTCTGATGAAGAGAGGGTCTTCATATACAGGAGCTACCGGTTAAATCCCACCCAACAAAGCCCCCGTTAAAAAAATCAACAGACCCCTACTGGGTTACAGGAGCTCTGAGTTGGCCTTGGATCATGAAAAGTTGTAAGCTATAAAGAAAAAACTAAGGCGGTGAAACAAATTAACATGCAGCATTTATTATCCTTCCAGGCTGGGTTGTTTAAAGCTGGGTTAAGATAACCCAAGGTTAGTACGAAATATGAATTCAGATATGACAGTTTTAAAAACAAATT